GGTAGAGCGAGAAATTCGATAAATCGCGTTGGTCAACTGAAAGGGATTAATGAGCGCAATCGATTTTGTCGTGATTCGTCTCCGATGCAGTAAGGCGCACACATTTTGTTTGAGGGGCGCTGAGATAGGACTGCCCGCTACGAGTAGCTTAGAGTAGCAACGCTGCCCGCACCACCCAGCTGGTCCGAGATATGGGCGTTTTTCCTCAGTTTGTTAGCCATGTGGTATATAGTTTATGTAAGTCGTAAAATATATAGGGTGACAGCCATTCGCAAATATTTGCTTTCCATATCGGATAAACGCGATGCCTTATGCAGGCCTCAAACAACGATGTCACCAGCGCCCAACTCGCTGTGCGCTGCATTTGCAGTGAAATGGGACCGGTATGTGCCTTTGAACCACCGGCGGGGCGGCCGTGCAAAATGAAACTGTACCGTGCAGGACCATTGCATCATCGATGCCTTTAAGATATACGGATATACATACGCGGCTTTAAGGAATGTATGCCGATGGGTAACACGATGCCTAATGCCTCCTTATTTTGGCTGCATACTTATGTGAATGTGCTTGAGTGCATATATGTATGTATGTATGCATGTATGTATGTACGTATGCATGTATGTATGTATTGTGTATGTATGCACGTATGTATACATGCATGTATGTATGCATGCACACACGTGTGCATGTGTATGTACGTATGTATGCATGTATGCGTGTATGTATGTACGCATGCATGCATGTACGTGTGTACGTACCATGCGAGCATACATATTTATTGTTATGAATGTTGGTATATCTGTGATGCGCGTTCTATGGAAGCATTATGCCGCGTAAGCGAAAAAATACGGATGAACGGAAGCTTCCTCAATCAGTTTTAGCTTCAATTAATATACAACAAAACACAAATAACATACAATTAGCTGCAACAAAATTAACCACGATTGTCATATGCATACACCTATGTAATTATACAGGCAAGCGCTTGTCGTGGAGGTCGAATGTAAGCTGCTGAGAGATACAGCGAATGGCACACACACACACACACACACACACACACACACACACACACACACACACACACACACACACCACACACACACACACACACACACACACACACACACACACACACACACACACACACACACACACACACACACACACACACACACACACACACACACACACACACACACACACACACACACATATATATATATATATATATATATATATATATATATATATATATATATATATATATATATAGATATAGATATAGATCGATCGATAGATAGACAGATAATGTGAAATATATCTCGTCCGTAGTATCTCCGCGTGGCTGCCCTTCCTTTCGATCAGCCACGGGTCACTGATGCATTACTTCCGGCATGATGGATCAGCAGCAGCATCTCCGTCATTCACATGCAGATGTGCACCGCATCAGCCCGTGGGGGCAGACGGCGTTATGCTCGGGTAGGTGTTTATGCCGGCTCCGGATGGTTACCAGTCGGAAAACCCGGACCGGTCGCCAGCTGCTGCCTCAGCGGCCGCGACCGCCTCCCGGAGAAATGGACAACACGCCCCGCGCCGGCCAGAGGAGACCAGAAAAGGTTCAGTACAAACAAGCTGGTTGAAATATTATTTTTTTGCATGTATTATGTCCCAGCCCAATGACATTTTCAAACGTACCGTAGACATGTGCATGAGTTGATGCTCTACTGCCACGTGCCTCGCAAATGCGCTGAACAAAATCTGGTTTTGGGTGAGTTTTGAGTATACGCTCGGGGACATAATACTCGCTCACTGAAAAACTGTAATATGCGCACATCGCGGAATGAACGCTTTTGCATACAATTGCGCATTTTTCGCTTAATTTGAGAACAAGTTCCTTGCGGAGGTGTGGTAGTTACTGCAAAATAGCATCACCAGTGATCAATGTAAATGGAAACCTATAACACGGGGCGTTTCAAAAATGCCAGTTTCAAAAATCCAAGTAAGATGTTAAAACTAACCTAAGCACGCACTATCTAGCAAGTATTGTTGACCATGTATTGGAGATTTAGATTGGTTTCACACAAAAACAGTGTGACCCAATACAAGACAACCGGTGTACCCGCACGGGCTTGGTGTGGTCTGGGAGCTAGAGATGCTAACTTCATCGCATCGGCCTCAGCGGCTGAGCACGCCATTTGCAGGATATCAGCAAGTGCGTGCCATTGGCGCTCGTGTTCAGGGAGCCGTCGGGGAGGCGCTTTACTAAGCTGATGAGCAAGGACTATAAAAACAGAAATTTTCACTTAGTGTTATAAGACAAACATTAAAAAACATTAAACATAGTGCTAAGCCATACGTAATATGAGGAAACATGTCAATACACGTTGTTATGCATGTCTCAATCTTTTAAATCTCACGTTACATATAAGGTGTCCTATAGTTCTTACTGGTTGTGCATGAAGGCTCCGTAAAATAGTATTTTCTGATCTAATTTCCTAACAGCATCTCATATTTCGTATAAGGGTGCATCTCAGACTGCTGCAAGTCCGCTGCTGCAATATGCAGCGCAGTCATCACGCGTTAAACACCACGACGATGGAGCGATGGCAGACACCTCCAGCTCGATAAATGTCCACGTCCAGGGACTAGCTACGCTCATCCATATGATATCAACCTGCCGTAAGTTTTGACGACCTGCTGTGCCGAACGCTCAATGTAAAGTTTAAGAACTTCCAAAAACCAGCATAAGCTGAAAAACGTTCTCCAGCAGTGATCTCACGGTAAAACCATCTGTTAGAAGCAATCATTGGGCTGACAATGTTGACAATGGCAAGGGGTCGTCTTTACAGTCGTTACAGCGAGCTCATTGAATTTAAGGTCACCTTTTTTGCGGAATGTGCATCCACCCCATTGTATTGGTGGGAAGCATTTGGAGCGCTCAAACCTCAGAAATACCGAAAGTTCCACCCAAGTATGGCCGCTCTTCCAAAGCCAAACCCGATCAAAGCTCAGGGCGCCCTAGCGACACCACCCCCCGCTGCCTCCGTCAGCAGAACCTCCTCTCCGGCGGCGGCGCCCTGCCGGATCCGGGAACTTCCCACGTGACCGGCGCGGCGCCAGCTGACTGGCGTTGGTCACGGGGCCGCTGCCGCCCTGTGATAATCAATACAGAGGCCGGCGGCGCCGGCAGCGGCATCTGCTTGCCGGTGGCGCTCTCCGTCTCCGCCCAGACAGACGCCTCCCCCCCTCCCGGCTCCCGGCGGACGCTGGGTCAAAAGAACGCTCTTCCACGGCCGGCGCGCTGCGTCCCAGATGGGCACTCTTGGTCTTAGAATAGCGCTCCTTCTGAGGACCGGCGCCATCAGCAAGTCCCACGCGGACGCTGTCGGTCTCAAGAGTACTGTTCTCACCAGACCAACGTTCTCAGTCCCAGGCGGACGCTCTTGGTCCCAAACGGGCGCTTCAGTCTCAGCCGGACATTGCTTTCCCTTATCTGCAATCAGTCTCAGACGGCCGCTCAGAGGTCGGCGTTCTCAGTTTCATGTGAGCATTATCGTTCTCAAATCGATCGACAATCTCGGTGTTCAGGCGGACGCCACCAGTCTCAGACGACTTGCTATTGCCGGGGCTCACCTTTTCAACAGGACACTCCTCCCAGGCGGACGATCTCAGTTTAAACGCGATGTTCTCATCTTCATATCGATGTTATCATTAACAAAGCAGCGCATCTAGTCTGACCCGAGTCCAGGCATTCTCATTCATGCCCCGCTCTGCCGGTACATGATTCGACACCAGCTGCTGGTGCCGTGGTACCACTAGCCAGGTACCACTGGTACCTTAGCACCATCATCAGGTGTGCCACTGGTACCGTGGCCCACCAGCCGGCGTGCCACTCGCCGTTCCGTCGCCACATGGCGGTGATCAGCGCGGAGTTTTTTCCACGCGATTACCGCCGCCCGGCGCCACGTGCTGCACAGGGTTGACGAGCAGCGCTGGACAACAGATACCCAGCCGTCGCCGGTCCGGGGAGTCGCTGGCCAGTTCACAGCCAACCGTCAGCTGTCAGCCGGCGCGTGTGTCGAGCCGCTCACCCACGACTCCGTGCCGGTTTGGGTCCCCGTGACAGGCGAGGATTTAGATCGGGCTAGGTGTGACCTATGTGTTCTGTTGATATCGCCATCTACCAGAGGCGACTGGCGGCTGGGGCTGGCGCGGCTGGCGCTGGCCGCGCTGACACCGGCACAGGATGTGCATCCAGCCGCTTTGCTGGGGCAGACGCGTGCCGCAATCGAAGACAGTGACAATGGGCCCGACTTCCTGTTAACACCGGAGACCGGTCCGGGCCGCTGCCGGTCCAAACTCCGCCCCGCCCGCCCCCCTCCCCCCTTCCCCTCCCTCTGCCGGTGGACCCCATTCAACCCTCCGCCATCGTCGTCGGCGCCAAGAGACAAACGGGCTCTGTATCTGTGTTCGGTCTCGGAGACAGGCGACACGTAAGCCGATGACTGGTCCGCGGCACTAAAACAGTGCAATGTTTGTAAAGGGCCGTGATTTAGACGCTAATGGCCAGATCCCACTGCCGCGATGAAAGAGGTCACAGAATAGCACAGATCGGGGGATACGGACCACTCCGGTACACCGTTCTGGTCGCTGAGACTCTGGCCTGAGCGCTGACTGGACTGGAGGCGTCCTTTACCGTCCCAACTTAACCAGAGATGCCGCGTACCGTTTCGATCGACCGGGGATGTCGTACACCGCTCTGACTTGACTGCAGACGCTGTATATTGATGCCGCTCTAACTTACACGGCGATGCCGCGTAAGTTCCCGTTCCGACCGGACCACATCTGCTGTAAAACAGTCTGCCTGCGCTAGCCAGAGACGGCGGTCCCCGCTGCCGGCCATCGGGCGAGGTGCTGCCTGACCCGCGAGCTGCGCCCTCCATGGACGCCTGTCGAGCTGCTCAGTCGCTGACGAGACTGAAGTCCCGCTAACCACTGACCTGTGACGAGGCTGGCGATCACGAGTGGGACGATCATCAGCTTGAGCAGCCTCATAAACAGCTCCCCCGGGTAGGCGATCAGGAGCTTGGTAGTCTCGTCCGGCCGGTAGGGCCGGATCGACACGCCTGCGGCGCCGGGGTCGCGGTCAGGTCACACGTCCGGTCACGGGCCACACCAATGTGTGCTGTGCCACCTCTCGCCGACCACTGATCTCTGGGTGGGATCTTGTGACCATGCGTGTCGGCGGCGCGGCTGTTCGCGGCTAACATATTGCTCCGGGCCGTGGAGCACTGCCTGTGGTGAGACTGTTCACATGTGCTGACTGCTTTTGTCCCCTGTAGGTCACGCCCAGCAATTTCTCGCCATTCAATATATATATATATATATATATATATATATATATATATAAACGGGTATATACATATATATATATATATATACGAGGTAAATATGCATATATATATATATATATATACATGCATATGCACATGGAAAACTACTAGACGTGCGCTTTGTGGCACAATTTGGTTTTTATCATCGATCAGTCTAGCCTCACCTCCCTTCAACTATACTAGAGTGAAATAATTATAACTATGCATGGGCACGAACAAAAAAGTTCGTTTGGTGCATGCGTTGCTTAATCGGTAGCATGTTCATGCAAAAAAGATTACAGAACATGAAAAATAAGGGACATGTCACTAATGTGCTGAGCATAGAGGAGCTACATTATACCCCTCGTCAGAGAATTGCTACATCTTGTGAGCACGTTTTTGTATTTACATCATCAAAGCAACGTGGCGGAGTCGTGACACGGGCTCAAGGGTCCCATAAATCGCGATAAAAGGAATTGCTGGCCATTTCGGAGAGGGGAGGGACATTCCCGAACTAAAGACAAGATGGAAATAAGCGATTTTGAAAAAAAAACTCAGCGTTTTGTAGCACAGATCAACGAATTATACTAAAAGTACGAAGCATTGATTTACGGCTGCATTCTACGACGCCATGATTCTAATACCGCAATTGTGGATGGTACTGGCAGGCTGTTCTGCACTGAAACGATCATGCTTTAGTCCAATTTGCTCTTCAAATGCGAGTGCCTCAAGAAACACAAGGTTCCGGTACCCAAGTGATCGATTTTCTTCAGGACGCAGCACGATTTACGAGGTCAACGAGAACGGTAAGTGACCACAAGACCATTTTGTGATGTGCCATGGGTCTTGGGGCAATATCTGACATACCCGGCCTGCATTACCACTAACTGAATGAACCCCACTTTTAATTACCTAATGGAGAATGAACATTGCTTGCGGGATATTAACACGCCATTTTTGCGAGAAGTGCGATTTCTCGAAAGTTTCAGAGCTAGAACGATGAAAATAGTGCAATGATGACTACCGAGTTAACGCCAAGCGACACCTTAATGCGGATGCACGCATCACCTTTGGAAAATTAACGCTTCGGTATTCCGAGTGTTTAGTGAGGCAGGAATTTTCACGCTTAAGTCTATTAAATGACAAATTGTTGGGGTGAAATAAACGACCGTGGTGAGTTCCTTGAAATAGCGAGTGAGCTATGAAAAGCACTCTAAATGAAGGGCACACTACGATCACGTCGGCCAGATACAGACGTGGATAGTAGAAAAAATCGTGAACGTCTAACTTTGCGTACTGATGCATCGTACTGCTCGCAGCACCACCATGTATGCTTCGCAGCTACAACGTTTAAAGACCATGGACCACATGCACGATTGCGGTTACAAAAACAGTCATGACTTAAGAGTCATCATGACCTAGGGCACCCAACAGGGGGTGGAGGGGACATGGTCGTGACCTCCGGCGTTTTTGTGCTATACGTAGCGGACGACAGACCGCATGCGATGCGCGCTTACCCGCGACAGGTGGAATTCTAGTCACTGGCCCTGTTTTACCAACCACACCCATATTTTTTACACCGGTAAACACATGCTTTTCCAAGACGCTCGCGTGGGGGCACCAGTGCGATACGTGCGAGCGGGCCCTTCTCAGTGTTCGTTGGAGGTCAGCGTTCGCTATGCGCGACCGCGGCTCTCCCCGTGTCCTGTGCCGTTGGTGGGCACGGGGGGCGTGCGCCAGCACTGCACCCGATGTAACGAGCCCACGTGTCGAGGCCGCGCTGGGTGGAAACCACGTGTCCGTCTCAGCATGCCGACAGACGTGACACGTAACAGCGTAGACAGATTATGTCGAGTGGCAAAGTGCCCCGCAGCATTCGGGGCAGTGATATTAAAACAGGATATTGTGATGTCTGATAACGGGCGGTACTGTAATCTCGGTAAGCCTGCTTTCACAAGACAGTTTTTGTCGAGAACTCACAATATTTTCGTCCAGACTCCCAACCGCATGGATCGCCTTTCACCAGACTCAGAGCATGACCAGACCCATGCCGTGGACCCCTGATCGCCTCTGATGACCCCTGTTTGCCCTCACAGCATGCTGCGAGCGGGATGGTCTCGAGAGTTGCGTTACGTTACGGGTGTACGTGACCTCACGGGTGCCCCTGATCGTCAGACATCCTGAGGGTGCCCCTGGTCGTCAGACATCCTGGGTCTTATCAGGATAATGACAGTGTCGTTAGATTTTGGAGTCCTCTTGAAGTCTTGGGGGAAGAGCGAAGCCTGCCTTTCCCAGTTTTCGCCTGTTTTTAATCGTTGACACTTGCGTTACGTGCCACAATCTACCACTATACCCACAACCAGATCATACAAGTGGCACACGAATACTGAATCGTGTCGTAGCCATTGAAAAATGAACACAGCCTCACGGCTTCGCACAAACCAAGCCATCACGGCTTCACGCACAGCGAGTCAGCAAGCAACGAACTAAAAATGGCGTCATAGAGGACAATGCCACTTGTAGAAGCTGTCAGTTCATACGTACCGAGGACAACGCCCATGAATACGCCCGATAACGTGGCGATGAGCAGAAGATTGTCCTTGACCCACGCTTGGGCCGCGTAGCGGGTCGGTTTCGTCGAGGGACTCATCTTATCGGCTTCTGAAACCCCAGCAGTGAGGTAGGTCAGCGCCAGCGGTGGCCGGGGGGACACGAAATACGCAATACGCTCGCTGCAGCGCAGCTAGAAATGCGCGAGTGTAATATGAGATAAGTAATAACGAAAGAGCGAGTGAAAATATGAGCGCGAGCCCATATTTTTAGGCGAGCGCTTTCAAACACAGTGCGGCGATTCGTGCGATAGTGCCCGACACATACGGATGAAAGCACAGGCACACGGATAGAAATACTGCACCATGGGAGAAGGGGTGGTCCAACACATACATACATACAAACGCGCATTCCAGATCACACAAGCTGTCAAAACACAGCCATAACATGCTGATCTTTCATTCCGTTCCGTACAGTTGCCGAGCGACTCTCTGAAGTCGGTGCAAAGCATCATAACTTCCGGGTGGTCCGTACACAAACCGACCGATTTTTGCATAAACCATCGATTCCGTTCTACATCTGGCGAAATACGTAGCTGATCCTGCGCCGTGTCATATTCACAAGCGCTTGCTGCAGCGGTGAAGTCAGCAGCCAGACCGCTCAGCCGCCTAGTGCAGCACCTCTTCGGAGACATCGCAAGGCCGGCACTGAACATGACGCAGGCGCGTTGCTTGCATCCTGCTTTTATGTCTGAATTATTGGCATCGTAATCCGTCTGGATGAAACGTTACTTTCGTTTGACTAGCTCACATGGGTGAAAAGCCACGGCAGTCAACACATAACAAGGAGTGCCTATCACCTCACAAAATGTAACACATGTAACACATTACAATGGGCAGTGGAACGCCCCTGTGTTGGGGCCTTCGTATGGGACCAGATTTCTTCTTTTCAAAACTACGCACCTTAATTCCGCTGCGTGCGTGCGCCAAAACAGGTTTATTGTCCTTCAGCTCCCCACATAAAAACTGGGTCTCGTTTGGCACGAACACAATTTGGCGACCTTAGGGGTTTGTTTCGCAGCCTCTGGCATCTCACTGAGCGTCGGGCCTAGCTAGATCAATAGTGGGTAGCGTTTCCGGGCTCCCGACCTGAACCAATTACCATCGGAGTCCCCATGCTCTCGTTCTGAACCACTTGCCATCCTAGTCCGCACGCTCCGGCCCTGAACCACTGGCCATCCGAGTCTCCCCGAGTTTGCAGGCTATCACCCTGAAGCGCTTGGTTCAGGCTCACGCTTGGGTTCACGGCGGCCACCCACCGGAGTCTCCGGCTTCGGCCCTGAGGCACGTATCATCGCAGCCCCCAGGCTCCCGCCCTAAAACAGTTATCTGAGTTCCCAGGCTTCCGCTCCAGATCACTTCTGAACTGAGTTTCCAGGCTCTCGCCATGAGCCACTTATCCGATGATTTAAGCTCCCGCCCTAAACCACTTGCCACCGGCATCTCCGGGTTTCGCCCCAACCCACGTAACACCAGTCACCGGGTTGTGGTCCTCAGCACTCTTTTGATTCTTAAATATTGAGATAAATAGATAGAAAACATAAAGAATATATAGAATATATTATAAATAGAATATAAGGAAAAAATATAAAGAATAGAAAAATAAATAAAAATATAAAAATTTATAAATACAGGCTCTGAGTCAAGTAAATTGGTTGAATTGACAGACATCTCCGCCTCGGATTCAAATATATAAATTTGAATGAGAGACTTGGACTCGACATCGGCCGAAGTGAGTGTGAATCAGGCTGTAAGCACAAAGGCGCTGGAAACCTTGGACTTCCGGCTCGGGATCAAGCCAATATGACTCAAGGGCACGGATGTCACTTAGTTAAATCGGTGGGGGAGATGAAGTAAAAGTGTTGACCTGACCGACCCCGAAATCACAATTTTTCTCCGGATTTTGACCACTGGTTTACGTTCCATTATACCATATTACATATACATGTACATAATATATACATATAATATATATATTATATACTGTATATATATATATATATATATATATATATATATATATATATATATATATATATATATATATATATATATATATATATATATATATATATATATATATATATTATACACATCTGGTGGGTTCCAAAACTACGATGATGATGATTTTGATAGTTGTGTTTAGGTGTCTAGTGTACCGGCAGTTCATACGCTTGCTACATTTTATTGGTCCAGTATTCCCTTTTTTGTTCCTATGCGCGAGGGGGCTCAGCAATAGTATGGTCATGCCAGGGTGGACGTGGAGCCTACTCCGGCTTGTTTTCGTCAGCATAAGGGAGGCATAGCGGTGTAATAAGTCAGCATAGTCAGCATAGTCAGCAATAAGTCGGCATAGGGGGAGGGGGGGGGGGGCTCAGGGCGCCCGAAATATGCAGAGTAACATCCCCATCCAAGATTCAACAGATGCTATGAAAAAGGCAGCTTGATTATGGAATATGTGTATGACCGTATTATGTTGGGTTGGTTTGGTGGAGTCCGGCTGAGTGCACCTATGTTCTGCTGGGTTTGGTTGATGTGAATTAGCTTTGAATAGACCGCTAGATTATGCCGGAGTTGTCGGGGTGCCGGTGGTGTAGTGGTTATCGCGTCTGTTAACCACTGCGCATCTGGGAAACCAGAGGTGCGGGGTTCGAATCCCCGCGGTGCCCGCCCTTCCTACCACACAAGCGATCACACACACACACACACATACACACACGAGCACGTCAGATTTATCATCTGTAACCTGAAATTTGATAAGGCGTTGCATTGCGGCGTGCTAATTGTTCTGGCAGCCCGCGCCTTCATAAACCACCGGACGCTGACTCGAGGGGCTGTCCGATAACGTCAGACTGAGATGGCTCGTGCCAGGGTGGACGTGGAGTCTACTCCGGCTTGTTTTCGTGACCGCCGCTGTCAATGCGTCCGAAATGAAATCATGTTTATTCCGCACGATTCTGTAGCAATGAAGACTGTTGCGAAAACTACATTTTTGGTTGCATTGGGATTACTTGGGCACGGTAATCGGAAGACATCGGAAACGGTATCGAGGAGGTGGAGCCATCTGTCCCTCATTTAGATTTCGACAAGCATTGACAACATCGGATTTCGGGTTGGCTACACATACTGCCGTTGAAAGACCTCAATTATATGTTCCAACGAGGTAATCATTTCATCTGAATTACCTCGCCCCCACCTTTGACCGTGTGCGGACCACCCTGAAATCTGTCTACCCGTCTCTGATTACCTCCATCTCACTGCCGGACTACCTCCTGACCACCAGTTGACCACGCTACCACCTTGCGGCCACTTTTAAACCACCTCATCATCACCCTCGAACAAACTCGCGACCGCCCCTCGAACGCATCATGATAGCAGCAGATGATGCTGGGACTTCTCCTGGAGCACTCTGTGACCAGCCCTAAACTAAATCGGACCAGCCGATTAACATTTTCGGACATTTTCAGGACTACATTATCACCTGCTTCTACATCACCTTCTGATCTCCCCGAAACCACTTCCCAACCACTTTTAGAACGCGCCTGCATTGCCCGCGCTAAAATGGAGAGGTCTGTAATATATATGGATACCTGTCGGCTACATGCTCGAAGTGAGCAATGAAACAAAATGATATAAGTTAGATGTCGCGTCCGTAGGTACGTTGTCTATTGTAAGAAATTCAAACAACACGTTTTCACGAGAATCTCTACCTTGCTGCCAGATAAGGACTAGAAAACCATGGCAGGTTTCCTTCTACCTGCTGTTTGAGACGTTTGTTTGCGTTTGTCTCAGACTCCAAGCCAAATATCTACGATGTCATGAAACACGCACGCATATGTTGTCTTGATCACGCCCTGATGGAAAATGGCATAGTTTGGCTCTTCTGGCGGGGTCGCCTGTCCAAGGTCGTCAACAATGACTACGTTGCTCTCTTCTACGCATGCTCAAAATGTTTCGGCCTCTTCTTCGCCGGACAGGTGAAGGCAGCGAGGGCAGCAAACACGAACTGGGCCAGATCCACCAACCATCTCCCAACGTCTGCGATGTCAACACAAACTTGGCCAGATCCACTCACCATCTCCCAACGTCTGAGATGTCAACACGAACTTGGCCAGATCTACTCACCATCTCCCAACGTCTGCGATGCCAACGCGAACTTGGCCAGATCCACTAACAATCTCCGGACGTATATGATGTCAACACGAACTTGGCCAGATTCACTCATCATCTATGGGCGTATGTGATAACACGAGCTTGGCCAGATCCACTTACCATCTCCCGACGTGTATGATGTCAACGCGAACTTGGTCAGATCCACTCATAATCTATGGGCGTAACAACACGAACTTGGCCAGATCCACTCACTATCTCCCGACGTATATCAAGTTAATACGAGCTTGGCCAGATCCACTCATCATTTATGGGCGCATGTGATAACAACACGAACTTGGTCAGATGCACTCACCGTCTCCGGACGTATGTGATGTCAACACGAACTTGGTCCGATCAACTAACCATCTCTCGACGCCCTTGGTGTCGGCGTGGAGTTGCCCAGCCCCACAAACCATTCCTCGAAGTCTGAGGTGTCCATACGTACCCGACGGCTCCACTCACCAGCAAGACCAGGTGCTTCGATCCCTTGCGCGTTGGGTATTGTTGACCTCTTCTTCTGTCCACGACTTTTCTCCTTTCCATTCACGTGTGGCCGGCCGCCGTGGGGTGCAGCGGGCGGCGAGACGGCGAGACGGCAGGGGCACGGGCGCCTGGAGCCGCGGAACGGGCGAGCGGGCCGGAGCCTCCTGAGAACGACGCCGGCCGGTGTCGACGCAACCTCGGCCGGGGACAGAGAGGCGGCGGAGGCGGCGACGGCTACCCGGTCCGGCGGCGCGGGCGCACGCGCCCCACGCCCAGGTGGGCGGGGCCACGCCCCCGGCGCAAGGCGAGAGCGCCGCTCCCGCTCTGTCGCCGCCGGCCATCCCGGAAAGGACGCAGCCGGCGTGGCAGAGGTCACGGCAAGGTCGCGGGACTGGCGCGTGGTGGATGGCGGCGTGGACACGACGGCAGCTAGGCCACGCATCGGCAAGAGGCGGCTGGCGTGGAGCTAGCGGCAGGGGTCACAAAGATCGCTGTGATGGGTGGAACGGGGAATATAATGAACGACGGCTAGATCAAGGACCCGGTTCAGGGTGGGTAGCACGGGAAAGGCTACAGCTCTGCGACGGAGCCAGGCAACGGTGGCCATACCGGGAAGGCTGCGGCTATGGCAGGGAGCTGGGAAGCATTATACTTTGTATACTATATATATATATATATATATATATATATATATAATGTATATGTATAAAATGTATAAAGATCCACTCACCATCTCCAGGCCTATGTGATGCCAACACGAACTCGGCCAGATCCACTCACCAGCTCCCGACGTCTGTGATGTCAACACGAACTCGGCCAGATGCACTCACCATCTCCGGGTGTATGTGATGTCAACGCGAACTTGGCCAGATCCACTCACCAGCTCCCGACGTCTGTAATGTCAACACAAACTCGGCCAGACTCACTCACCAGCTCCCGGAATCTGTGATGTCAACACGAACTCGGCCGGACTCACTCACCAGCTCCCAACGTCTGTGATGGCAGCATTTATATATATATATATATATATATATATATATATATATATATATATATAATATATATATATATATATCCATTACCATATACTTAAGAACCCTGTGGTACAAACTGGACGGCAGCCAGTTGTAGATACGGGTAAACGTGGCAGTCCACTGCTTACGCCAACAATTTCCTAACTAGACGCCACTAACCGATGTAGTTGACACGCCTTTGACCCCTAACTGTAACTGGCACGTTATAGAAGCAACCTTCACAAGTTACACCGGGTTACGCCCGAATCTCATGTGACCGATAACTTTCAAACGTGCAGCTCGACCTACCCCCACAACTGACGCCTCCGTGCTCTAACCTCCCATAAGTTTTGCACGGGACACGACATGATCCTCTCGCTGAAGATGCACCGCCGACGTTCTGTTGCGTAACGCGCCCAGCTGTGTTGTGAACACGCACCGCTGACATCAGCGCCACTGATCGGTGTAGTCACGCACCGCTGACATCAGGGCCACTGATCGGTGTAGTCACGCACCGCTGACATCAGGGCCACTGATCGGTGTAGTCACGTACCGCTGACATCAGCGCCACTGATGGGTGTAGAAGTCTGATGACGTCACCGACCTGGTGACATGTGGCCTGGCTCAGTCTGGTATTCCGGTGTGAGTCTGTGGACCTGGTGTGGTAAGGAGGGTGTGTATGTGCGTGTGTGTGTGTGTGTGTGTGTGTGTGTGCGTGCGCGTGTGTGCGTGTGTGTGTGTGTGTGTGTGTGTGTGTGTGTGTGTGTGTGTGTGTGTGTGTGTGTGTGTGTGTGTGTGTGTGTGTGTGTGTGTGTGTGTGTGTGTGTGTGTGTGTGTGTGTGTGTGTGTGTGTGTGTGTGTTCAAATGATATTTCGGCTACAGGCAGGCCGCTGTAGAAACATCGATTTGGCCTGAGTCTGACTTAGACACTGCTCGTTGATGTTTTGACCAATGTTTGTAGCCCATGCAATTATAGTCGTTTGAATCCTACTACAAAAGGCCTAACGCATGCCCAGCCTAAGCTAGCGTATCCCATCAGGCGTCTTGTCTAGTCGGCAATACCATATGTATACACCATTGCATGGGGGATATAATTTTCCGTCGCAAAAAGGTGTCTTGAGCTTAGGTTCCCCTTTTGGTTGGAGTCTGAATCCGAGCTTATTCCTGCCGACTTAGGCCTGATTCTGACCTCGAGTCAGCCGTTTTCAAAAAGGTCAGTTAAAGTTCACCGTATTTTAAAATCACCAGTTCAGAGCCCGCATCACTGCGTGCGTGAAGTGATCGGCTCACTTCAGTCGCAATCGGCCATGATGCCCGAGCTGAGGCCGAGTCCGGTCAGACTCGAACCCACGCTCACGAACGTCACCGCTCACCTTCTGAAGACAGTCGTCTGAGTTTTGCTGCGTTACCCCACCGTTCGGAGAGTCGATGGCGTGAGAACATCCCCATCACAGACTCGTCCGCCGAGTGGGGTCGTCTCCATGGCACTGCACCACACTGGGAGACGAGGATTTAATGACGTCGTCAGTGCCGCACGGTCACAATACGGTGCTCTGCGAGGTCAGTAACATTACTGCAGACCCGTGGGGGACGGTATGACGAAATCGTCACTGCTCCAGTCCCCCGGAGGCGTTGGCTCGGGGGATTGCTGCAGACGCGGAGACGATGATCTGATGACGTCAGCACCATAATCACATATAGGGAGGCGATGGTCTGATGACGTCAGTACCATTATCACTTACATGGGAGGCGATGGTCTGATGACGTCAGTACCATTATCACTTACATGGGAGGCGATGGTCTGATGACGCCAGCACCATCATCACATATACGAGAGGTGATGGTCTGATGAAGTCAGCACCATCATCACATATACAGGAGGCGATGGTCTGATGACGTCAGCGCTGGCGGGCCAGTGACCTGGTGACGCACGCCGCCATGGCCGATGAACATCGACCAACGGCCTGAGAGCGTGACCTTGGTGGACGCCCCCCTCCCCACACCCCAGCCAGGGCCGCTGGGAGTTTATCATCTATCTTGGGCATCTATCACGGCCCCGATGCAAATAATTGCTCGCCGAAGCATTCAAGGGTCATAAAAACGCGGTCCCAACAGCCGCCCAGCGGCAGCGGCGGATCAATAGGGCGTCCGATCGGCCCATGCCGAAAGATCACGTACAGCAGATGAGCTAAGGCCGGTTGACACTGGTGCTGCGAACTCATGCAATCTGTGGTGGACTGCCGATTCTCGACCAGCATCAGAATGAGCTTAGCTCGATTCGGCTCACTGATCCATTCTCTTTTGTTTTTTCTGTAGGTTTTAATCGGAGCTCACCCACTGCTTGCTTGCTGGATGCACTGTCGTTTGATGCAGCGACGCGTCATCTAAATACATTGCAGACATCTTTGGAGTTATTTTGGTTTGAACTCCTGAGTCCGCTTCATCTCATGTCTTCACATGTCAGAGCCGGGGGCGTGGTCGCATTCTCCATCAGTGGAATCGCTAACAGTCCGAGGTACTTATAGCGTGTCAATTAAAATGCGCGAGTAAAGGAGTACTACGTCACGTGTTGTTATCCAAAGTTCTGAGACAGACGGATCTTTCCTATCATTCGCGTATTCATCAGACTCTGCCAGCGTGATGCGGTCACTTACCGACGCGCCTATTCCAGCGCCATCCCCGGGTATCTGGATACTGGGATCGATTTTGATCCCTGAGGGCCAGCCCTTAGATTGCGCGGCGTGAGTGATCGCGTTGCCGCTCATCACAAGTTACCAATGACGCCAAAGTCAAATCAAACAGAGGAGGTGAATGTGCTCGCCCCCCCCCCCCCCCCCCATCACACCATGCATGAGTTGAACGCGGTCGCGAGTCGCCATGCGTTGTTGATCGATGTATGTGTGTGCGGAAGTGAGATGTCCTGTTTTCTACAGGAATGCCAGATAATTAAGCGTGTTTCTGTGGTAGACACCAGATTGTTATTTGGCCAGAATGCATAATCTTTCAACGACACCGGAACATTAATGCAACGCGGCGAATCCGGTCCACCGGCGGATGTCGCAGTTCATCAGACAATCCAACTTCCGGGCGGCGACTTTGACGTTGTTTAACGCCGCCGTTAAATACGCAGCACACACGGGCAGCCAACGTCTCAACACACGACGCCCAGTTCATGTCAGGTTTATTGAATCGACAGTGGGTGGGCGCCCACGACTGGGCAGACCAGCAGTCTGCAGTCGTATCGATCACTCACGGACATCGAAGGTATGCACAGCATCGTTACGTCGTCAGTAAAAGCGACGCGAAATGTCATTCGGCTCGTGTTCAAACGGTACAGTGCGATATTGCGTTGCGAATATTCTGGCTTAGGTGCGTAGTACAACACCAGACTCCGTGGAATGAGTGACACTGCATCAACGCCCAGTACTCACAATAGGATCAATCGATTCAAACAAATCTAACTTGAAATGATCCAGTGACAGGTTTCGTACTTGATCCCCAGCAGTATGTCAAGTTATCGCAGAACCCACAGCGATTTGATCCGTAAACAGGAAAGACATCACTAACATGCTGGGGACGCAAGTATGAAATAAGTACACACATGCCAATGTGAATCCTCTCATAACAATCAACGAGTGTTAAAAGCCATTAAAAAGTTCAACTGAAGACGTTGCATAACTTATGAGCTGAAGAATAATGCGTACATCTTAAAGGATTGATTACCCCTCGTCCTGCCACAAGCTGAAAAGGCGGGACTAACAGGGTTTACGTCTGAATTGTTCCCCGGCTGCAATACTGAGCATGTGACTCACCCTGCACGACACAGCATTATCCTTTTATTCCAAGTGAACAACGACGAGGACAGACCTTCAGCACACAACTTCAGCACGCTAAGCTATTGGTCCAAGGCACACCAGAGCGCAGCTGTTAACTAGTTATTTAGTGAAGCTGGTTAAGCAAGCTGCCACTGGTTGATCGTGCGGTGCTCCGTGCGAGCAGGCACCGCGCCACCAGGAGCATCTCCACCACCAGGCGCGACAGTGGTCCACGCTGGGCGAGAGGAGAGGTGTCGGCGGCCGCGGTCGGCACGGTGGGCCGTCCCCCCCCCCACGGGGTAGGTCAGAGGCGCCGGCCCGTCCCGGTCCGGAGACATGCCCAGGCATGAACGAGCGAGCGGCAACGCGCGCGGCGTCACCATCACGCCCCCACGGCCGGGGCCGACAGCCGTGACATCAGACAGTGCCGCCGGCCGGGGCCGACGCCAGCCCGCCACCCCTCGCTCACAGGGGCACACACGGCAACACGCGCTCTGTCTGCCCTGCCGACGGCAGCATTCCCCTCCTTACACCAATCTAGCCCTTTCCCTGATCACAGATGGGCCGAGACCGTCGAGCTCGGTCCATCTCAACAGCCGGCGACTAGCTCTGGTCTCCAGTCCTGTCCCGCCACCCCGACAGCGGCCCACACGGCCGGCCGCGCGATCCGCCGGCTGGAGGGCAAGCTTCGGCGGCGCCACGGCCTCGCTCACTGGTCGCGCTCGGCGCTGGGTATCCTGTCGCGCAGGTACTGCAGCACGGACGCCGTGCCCTGCGCGAGCACCGTCGGCCGCGGCTGCTTGAACAGGTTGCCCTCCAGACTGAGGCTCCTGACGACAGCAGCGCGAGGTCAGCCGGCAGCCACGACCGAGCATCGGCTGATGACGTCACAAACGGACCACGCGGACGACACACGTCGTCATCGCACCGATGCCGTACCCGTTCGCCAGCCCCATCCACAGAAATGGCAGATACCCGACTTACCATGGATCGGGCGAGTTGTGTCGTAGCGACCTGCCCCGCGGTTTGGGTCCAGTCTCCGTTGTGTGATCTGTGCGAGATGTGTATCCTGTTTCGCGGCTTGTATCGACTCCGTTGTGTGGTCTGCACGAGATGTCCGTTGTGTGATCTGCACGAGAGGCGTACCCCGCGGCTTGTGTCTTGTCTCCGTTGTGCGATCCACAGGAGCGGGGTACCTTGCCTCGCGGTGTGTGTCCTGCCTCCGCTGTGCAATCTGTGCGAGATGTGTACGTGTCTCGCGGTTTGTGTCTTGTCTCCGTTGTGTGATCTGCACGAGATGTGTACCCTATGAGATGTTGTGACTGTGACTCTCCTGAACCACGTGAGCCGCGCTGGTTGCGTCATTTATCTGGTTGTATGTCATCCCCAAACGGCTGAGCTGGTTGGTTGTGTGACCCGCGCCAGCCAGGCAACCTTTGACTCGAGTGACCCGTCCTGGTTGACCTGCCCACGCTATGCGACCTGTCCAGAATGTGCGATCGGCCTTGGCCATGTGGCCTACCCCAGCAAGGCGACCGACCCAAGCTGAGTGGCCTGTCCCGGTGGTGACCTGCCTAAGTTGCGGCCTACCTGAGCTGGGTGACGGTGCCCAGTCGAGCCGGCACGTGGGGAATGCTGTTGTTGCGCAGGTCGAGCGTTGCCAGGCGGCCCAGCCGCCGCAGCTGCTCCACCTCGATCTCGGTGATTTGATTATCGCTGGCCAGAATGATCTCCAGGGAGGCGACGCCGTACAGCACCGGCGGCACGGCCGTAAACCTGGCGGAGAGTCAGCGGCTCCGGTCACCCCGCGGCGGGCCTCTCAGAAACACAGCATTTCCGATCACTCCACCATGGGCCTCAGCGACAAGGCCACTCCATGTACCTCGCGTTCGATCACTCCACCATGGACTTCAGCGACAAGGCCACTCCATGTACCCCGCGTTCGTTCACTCCACCATGGGCCTCAGCGACAAGGCCACTCCATGTGCCTCGCGTTCGATCTTCACACCACAACAGTGATACCTGCGAGGCGACGAAACTCACTGAATTCATGGGCGCATATGGGTACAGTCGTCAACGCTTCCTTTCATGCCAGGCGTCAAATAATCAAGGATCTCCTGTCTGACATCCCCTTGACTACCTGCTTGTTTACTTTAACCCAACCCTGCACGGCGTAATTCCCCGTTCAGTTGGGGGGGGGGGGGGGGGGGGTCCAGCCCTTCATCTTCGCCTTCAGCTCCCCGTTCCCAACCTTGGGAAGAAAGCGGGCTCTAAATCCGAGAAGAAACCTGTTTGTTGGCGTCAAAAGTCGAACGAAATAGGCTAAACGACCAAAAACCAACAGGAATAAAAGTCGACAGGGATCAGAGTGGAATCTGAGAAGAATCGAAAGACAAAAGTCAAAAGGGATCGAAAAGTCAAAAAGGAAAACACTGAGAACCAGGCATTACATTTCGATCACTAGGGTTACCAAAAAAAAAAACAAAAAAAAAACGAGAATCACGCCGGGGGCGGCCACTGTACGCTGCTGCTGCCGTGGGCGCCAGCACAGTCCGCGACCGCCCAGAAAATGGCCCAGGGGAATCTTTATGGGCATTGATAGAGGTTATCAGGGCGCCCATAGCAGATCGGTCACCTGATAGCCTAAGAGCGCGTTCCATATGGCTCGGTCGTGAAGCTTCGAAAGCCGGCTTCCGAAGGGCTAGGGAGGCTCCGGCTCTTCATGCTGGGCTTCAGCTCCCCCTTCCCCATGTTGGGAAGGAAGCGGTCAAGTTCGAGAATAAGCTTGTCTGTTGGTGTATTTTTGGGATACGTTGCGACATTTTTTACTATTCAACTCTCTCACCCCCTCAAACTCATTTAGTAAAACTACGTTCTTGTCCCACCGACGTTTATCCCCATTGCATTTATGTATGCGATCTTTATCCTGTCAACGTTTACCCCTATGACTTTTCCGATTTGTGTTCTATCCCTGTCAACTTCGCATCCGATGAAGTACTTCCTAATCTTTTACTACTGTCGAATTGGGACTGGACTTGGACTTGGACTGGAACCTTTGGATCCCTTTGATTTTTGCATTCGACTTTTATCCCTATCGACTTTTAGGCTTTTTAAAGATTTGATCATTTCTTGGATCAGAGCTCACGCTAAGCAGTGTTTGTTGTGTGAGCCCTGACCCCTACCACCCCATCACGCAATTCCATGTCAACGGCAAAATTTGGTGGCAAAAGCTTAACGTGCCGCAATGCTAGGCACAGCCCGTCCTGCCCTCTGACGTCAACTGACCTTCAGCGCGACGGCTGCCACCGACCGCAGGTCATAGCTGTCAAGGGCAAATAGCGAGCGCCCTAAAGCGACTCGAACCCACTCCGCCACGAATGGGCGGATCAGAAGGCAGGCGCTCTAACCAACTGAGCCAGCGGGACGGACAAATTGCTTTTTGCTTTCTTGCTTTTTGTCTCCCCGACTTTTCACGATTCGATTTTTAACCCCAGTCGACTATTATCACTTTCGACCTCTTGTCTTTCGACTGTTCTCCCTGCCGACTTTATCGCCATTTGGCTTCTCATCCTCCGCTTTTTCAGATCAATATCCATAAAAATTCCCCCGGGCCATTTTCTGAGATCGGATTGACCTCTATCCCTGTCGACTTTTTTCTTTCGACTAGTTTCGTGCGGTTTTTTTCCCATTCGGCGTTGTTCCATTCGATTTCTTTCCGGAAACCATAACATAAATACAAGCAGGTTCATGAAAATTGTCGTTCGCTGGCACCGAATATCTCGCTTCCAGCGATTCCCCGTTCCAGCCATAACGTGGAAATGAACCTCAAAACTCAATTGCGACGGGATCTTTGGATAAATTCCTTGCATGTGATGATCGTGACCATGTACATGCACAATGAATGCCAGCTCTCGTGATAGGGGTGACCTCGTGTAAGGTGACCGAAGACCTCGAGGAATGCGGCCCCTGGCAGGCTGGTTCGGGTGCTGGCGGCCGGCGGGCACACGGTCCGCTTACCTGAGCGCAATTAGGCTCCTGTTGTTTGCCCACCCTCACACAGCCTATATGCGTTTGATTACAAAAGACCGTATCTGATAAGCCGCAAATAGATTGGCCAGCCGAAAGCGTTCTCCGCAAACCACAGCCACTGGTCCCTTTGCACATTTTTTCGCACCTCGGTTCCCTGAAACAGCACAGCTCGTGATTAGTTCGGTCCGCTCTTCTCGCGCAGCGGCACTGGTTGAAGCCCGGTCCCGGTGGCTTGCCTTGTAACCTTCACAGGTGTCTGGTCGAACGCCTCAGTTGTTCGATAGCGGGCCGACTGTCATGCCCGGCCCGGCCCAGGACGGCAGGCGGGTCCGGCGCTGACCAGGGCGCGGGCTCGCCTCTGCTGACCCACAACCATTACAGCAAGCGAAGACATTGCCCGCCACACGTTGTATGCTGCACGAGGCCATGCTGCTGCTCAGAACAGAGTGCTGATGCGAGGGAGGCCGGCAGCTGGCGGCCACCAGTAGGAACAGCGGCGTCCGGGCCGGGTGGTGCGGGTCGTCCCACCGGGGCCACGAGGTCGGGAGGCGCGGGTCGTCCCTCCGGCGTCACGAGGCCGGGAGGCGCGGGTCGTCCCACTGGCGCCACGGGGTCGGGAGGCGCGGGTCATCCCACCGGCGCCACGAGGCCGGGAGGCGCGGGTCGTCCCACTGGCGTCACGAGGTCGGGAGGCGCGGGTCATCCCACTGGCGTCACGAGGCCGGGAGGCGCGGGTCGTCCCACTGGTGTCACGAGGTCGGGAGGCGCGGGTCGTCCCAGCGACGCCAAGAGGCCGGGCGGCGCGGGTCGTCCCACTGGTGTCACGAGGCCCGGCGGCGCGGGTCGTCCCACCGACGCCACGGGGCCGAGCGGCGCGGGTCGTCCCACTGGTGTCACGAGGCCGGGCGGCGCGGATCGCGGCGCCCCGCTCGGACGAGACGCCGGTCACCGGGATGCGGGTCGGCGGGTCACTTCTGGACACGGCAGGCCGGGTCCAGTCAACACAATACGCTGACTGGCAGGCACTGGACGCCCCGCCGCCTCACGTTACAGGTGTTCAGCCCGAGCGCAGGTCGCCTGACGGAATCAATGGGAGCAAAGACCGCATGGTAGAGCCAGCTCCGCATAGCCAAGACTAGCGCGCTGTGAGCAAGCTTAGTACAACGTACCTAGCCTGCTGCAGAACACACCAAATAGGATGTTCCACTCAATCATGGTAAATACACAGTGACATACCCACCACTCGAGACTTCGGCAAGCGGCGAGACTCGACACCTGGATGTGAGCGACAGGCTCAGCTACCAGCGCCGTATCGCCACCGTCGGAGGCCGCCGGCCCGGCCCCGGCGGCCGTGACAATCACGGGCCGATCTGGTGCCGTCGCCGCTCCGCCCCGTCCCGCCTCACAACAGACCATCGAGTGCCCGCAGCGGCGTCGGCGGCACCGCAGCGGGGACTTGGGCGACGCAGAGGCGATGGTGCCGCTGCGGTGAGAACGCGGTCTCGGGAGGACTCCGGCGATCGCAGACGCGCAACACCACTACAGCGAGGACCTGGGTGACCGCGGGGCCGGCCCTGCACTGCCCATCGAGACCGATCAGCCTAACCCGGCGGCGTCCAGGAACGGCAACAAGCTCCCCGGCGGACTGGCATCTCCACAGACAGCGCGACGTCACTCGCAGTCCCGGCCAGGAGTGCTGTCCGCGGGAGTCCCTCGCGCCACTGACTCTGCCCGGGAGGGACGGGCCCAGCCCGAACGGCGTCAGGCCGGCCGTGGCCTGCAGCCGTGTCCAGGGTGGCGCCGTCGCCGCCCGGGCCACCGCCGATGGCCGCCCCGGGCGCCGACCCGGCGGCCGACGAGCCGGACTGGCACGTGCCCAGCGTCGATCAGCTATACGCGGCGTTCGGCCCGCTCGCCGTGTGTGTGTGGGCCGCCGCCGGCCTCAGCTGCCTGTACGTGGCGGCGACAGCGGCTGGCGTGGCGCGCCACATCTACCGCCACTACCCGCGCCGCCAGCGGCTCACCAACGCGCTGCTCGTGCTCTCGTACCCGGTGACGGCGCTGGCGCCGCTGGCCACCCTGCTGGCGCCGCGCTGGCAGCCGCTCTGGGCGCTGCTGTGCGACCTCTGGCTGGGCGCGCACGTGGCGCTGACGGCGGCGCTGGTGCTGACCTCGTACGCCAGCCTGGCGCAGCTCCTGCGGAGCGCGGCGCGCCGGCCCGGCTGGCCGGCGACGCCGGCCACGCGCCGCCGCCTGGCGCGGCTGCTGCTGCTGCTCACCGGCCAGCTGGCGCCGGTGCTGGCCGCGCTCTGGCTGCTGCGGCTGGCCCAGCTGGCGGCGCCGCTGGCGCGCGACCCCCGCCCGCTTCCGCTGGCGCGCGCCGGCGCTGCGCTTCGCCGTGCCGATGAACGTCTCGCTGCTGGCGAGCCTGGCGGCGGGCGCGGCGCTGCGCCACCGGACGGCCGGCGACCTCCAGCCGGCCGTGCACCTCGGCGAGAAGATGCGCCTCGTTACGCTGCTGATCGACCTGCACTGGCTGCAGCGGCTGCTAACGGGCTGGGTGCCGGCCATCGGGCCGCGCCTGGCCGCCGTTAACGCGTACGTGCTGTATGAGCTGCTGCTGAGCGCGGTCATTGTGCTGGAGACGGCCGTGGCCGTGCGGCGCGTGCGGCGGGTCTGGACGCGCCCCGTGGTGAGCGTACGCGTGCCGCGCAGGATCGGGACTGGGCGATAGCCAGCCCCCTGCTCGCGCCGGTCGGGGATGGGTGGAAGGCTGACGCAGGGGCCACCGTTCAGGTCAGATCGCGTGGCTTGTCTGTCGCGGGGACCGAGCGAGAGACCACGTGGGCCGGGCTGCACAGCGCCCGTGAAAGCCAGGTTGAGAAACGACGCGGTGCTGGATAGATACCCGCGTTTAGTCCAGTCTTATCGCCACGCAAGAAAGACCACCGCATTTCCAACCCGATTCGCACTAACATCAGACGTCTAACATCGACTAGAACCGATTAAGTCGTCTTGAAAAGGCAAACACCAACCCTTCTGCCGGCGATAGTACGGCGCGAGCGGCGACACATCTGCTCCCACTCACTGTCACTGCGGCGCACCCGATACGGGCCCCGTCCAGTCCCTGGGGACGCAACAGAGCTCCGCCAGTCCCCGCTCAAACGGCGGCCGCCACAGGCGCGCGGGCAGCGACAGGAGCTGTTGCCAGGCGGGGCTGCAGGCGCGCCAGCGGCGCCGCGCGCCCGCGCCAACCCGACAGCCCGGAGCGGCACGAGACCATCTACAACCCGAACCGTCACACACAGCAGCGCAAGCCATTCGCCGAAGCATCATCAGTTGAAGCGAGACGAGTCGCATTTCAAGTGAAACGGCCGTGCCGTTGCGAACGATTTACAACACGCAGCTAATGGCTTTCCCCGCCTATTTTCGCTAGGTCTCGTCGATTCGCAGCGAGATGCCGCTGAGCCTTCGTCTCCGCAAGCTGCACTCCAATGGCGTGTGTAATCAGCGTTGGCCGTGTATGCTGCACGTGACGTCAGCCGCGTACATAATTTCTGCAGTTCAATTTACGGAAGGCCTGGGGAAACATTACTGATGTCCGTTGGTGCTTCAAAACGTAACATGTAATCGTTGATGCGTGCCGGAGTAATGAAATCGATGCCCCAGGAAATGACCAATAACTTTTCAATTTTTGAGACATACCAACCGCTTCATTATGTTACATGCCATAACTCTAGCCCTATCTTTTCGAACATTTCGCGCCATAATTGTCTCAGATCGACCATGCATGATAAAAATATTGTGCGTGTCGTTCATGTAATTCAGCCAAGGCCACGTAAAACTTCTACAGCTCGGTTCTCGGGGAACGGAAAAACTGGACGACATAAGCACTTTCACATCTGACCCACACATTTCGACCTAATCAAATGCACCCAAAAAAGGCCCTATTCGAATCGTATGGCTCTGAGTGTGCGTCGGTGAAGAAGGCCGTCCGTTGGGCAAGTGTACCGCAACTCATTCAGTTATCGCTGCTACATCTATGCTACATATTTTGTGTTTATTCACTTTTGCTACGGGAAAGCAAAACCTCATCCTCACATCATAGCATAACTTTCCACGAACCTGTTGCCACCCAGAAATCCTCACGGGGGATTCTCAGAAATCCTCCGTTACTTTCGCGGTGCTGACCCGACTGGTGGCCGGCCGCGGCCGCGCCCGCCGGCGCTCACCTGTTCAGCGTGAGGCAGACCTCGCGCAGGTACTTGAGCGTGCCCAGGCTGTCGGGCAGGGCTGTCAGTTGATTGCCGCTGACGTTCAGGTAGGTGAGTCGGCAGCACTGGCCCAGCGCCTCGGGCAGCGCCGTCAGCCGGTTGCTGTTGAGGTTCAGCTCGGCCAGGTGTCCGCTCAGCAGCAGCAGACTGCCGACGGAGAGGCGGTGTGAGTCCGGCGCGGCGTGGCGTGGGAGGCCGGAGCCAGTCCCGGGGAGGCAGTCAGCGAGTCCGGCGCGGCGCGGCGCGGGAGGCCGGCGCCAGTCCCGGCCCGCTCCGAGTCCGGCCGACGGCACAGCTGGCCGATGGCCAGTCCCAGGCACCACAGGCCGCCGGTGTGCCAACGTTAGAACAGGTCGGCCCGAGGGGATGTGTCAAGGAGTGGGAGAAAGCGCACGCTGAGACACGACGTCACACTCAAGTTTGGTATCGATCACACATGCGTTCATACAGTCGTATATCAGAACTTCCCACGAGTATCGTGCGCAGAAACGATGGTCCATGGCACTGGGAGACAACAAAACGCTCACTATGTAAAAATTGTCGACGTGAGTGGAACATTTGAACAGGCTTCAAATACTCCCCATCGGGAAATGTGTCACCCAACCAGCCAGACCAGCGCTTGGACACTGTTCTTGGCTTACCTAACATTCAGCTAACGTCGATGGTTGCGAAGAGTACTGTCACATCCCTCTTAGCATGCGCAAACGGGAACTAAGTGCAATGACTCCCGACGGGTAGGCATGAGAGGTTAATTCAGACCATTATGACGCATTTTCGAGGCAGCAGATAGTGGTCACCACGCATTTCACATAAAAACTGACCGAAGCCTGAGCCTGTGACTTTTGATTTGCTGCATGCATTACAAGGCAGCACCTTTTAGACATTTACTTGGCATCAGCCCCATCCCCTCGTTAGTGTAAGCCGACGACACACCTATCAGACACGCTGGTCAGCAGGTTCTTGCTAAAGTCGACGGTTGTGACCTCAGCCTCCTGGCCCATGGTGAAGAGGTCCGGCGGTATTTCCGCCGCCTTCTGACCGGTGTGGGACAGCAGGCGGCTGCTCTTCATCTGCGGGGCGGAGGCGGAGCGGCGTCAGACACCTCGACACACGGACACCAGCCAGCATGCCATCCAGCAATAGCAGCGCCGCGGATAGACACTATCAGATCGACTCTAAACCGAAATAAAAGCACGCGATGAAAACGTCGCACGCCAGTCTCAAAACTACAGGTTCGAACGAATTTAAAACACGGTACGCCAGATGGTGGGGCGGTGAGACACCTGGCCGGCCAGCAGCCCACCTTGTAGACCTCGTGCATGCGCGCCTGTTCGGGCGTCTGTCCGCCGTCGGCGTCTGCGGACTCGCCGCGCTGGCCCAGGCCCGGGATGATCAGGCCGTCCACCTCCGCCTGACCCCGCAGGCGCTCCCTGCCAACCCGCCCCAGCGACTGTCAGGAGGAGGGAGCTCTTCGCCGGCCCCAGCGACAGTCAGAAGGGGGGGGGGGGACTCCGTCGGCCACAGCGACAGTCAGGGGAGGGAGGGACTCCGCCAGCTCCAGCGACAGTCAGGGGAAAGAGGCTCCGCCCGCTCCAGCGACAGCTACGGGGGGGGGGGGGGGGCTCCGCCCGCCCCAACGACAGTAAGGGGGAAAAGCTCCGCCCGCTCCAGCGACAGCTAAGGGGGGGGGGGGCTCCGCCCGCCCCAGCGACAGTCAGGGGGGGAGGCTCTGCCCGCCCCAGCGACAGTCAGGGCACGGGAACTACGCTCGCTCCAGCGACAGTCATACGGGCGGCGAACAACCGGCCGAACCAGCCGGCCACGAGGCCCCTTGTGGTCAAGGTCAGGGTCCATGCATATCCAACACGGGCAGCCTGGACGCGGCCTAGACGGTTGTGCGTAATCATAGATCGCAAACGAAGGTCGACGCACAGAACAGCCACTACAAGGTCCCAGAGCTGGAAAACGTCACGGGCGGGTATGGAGGACCATCCTAGGTAAGCCAGGAGACCTGCGGACCCCGGCTGCTGGTTCAGATATTTGCTGGTATCGACAAACAGAAGCTCGTACAAACTAGCCGTAGCAGATCTAACACGTCTTTGCAGCCAATACACGACAGGAAAAACAGGAGATAGCAGGCAGCTGGATGTAGCTTAGCACCTTTTACATCAAAAGGAAACACAAACTGTTCATATTGCCACGTCGATTCACAAGCAGAAAACTGACAAGGAAGCATCGATGCAACATACAAGACAGTGCAACCACACTAAGTGCATTTCATCTAGCCTGGGTGATCAGAGGACGCGGTTTATGCTGACCGTGACAACTCAAATTCACAACAAACCTGGTCGGATATCGTTTCTGGTTCGGAGCATGCAGTGACGGCACAGTTGCAAGAAGACAATACTAATCAATTATACCACGCAAATATTCATAACGCGACGTGAATCACAACATATACAAATTATGCGGTGAGAAATTACGGACCAACGTCAAACACCTGCGACGCAGAGCTCGTTCCATGTGAAGCATTAATTATACCGATGGAACACCTGGACCATAGAAAGGAGCATGCCACGAAAACAACAAACAGAAATCATGAGGCATCCCCCACAGCTACTTACATGTCTTCCCTGTTAGCAAAATCAATTGCATGAAAAAGATGGATTAATTGGTACCGGACAGTGCACTATGGTAAACCAGGTTGCTTCAGAAAGGCGCCTTCCCGCGTCCTTCAACGGAGTCCAGCGGTTTTCCAAAAGCAGAACGGCAATTTGTTTGCCCGGAGTTTGGCGGTACCATGCAAACGTGAGAGACCAACAAGCAGCGCACGACCGCCAGCCAAGCGCCAGTTCTGCTGCTGTGACTCCATGAATCTCCAAGCAGTGCGCTGTTGGCCATGTATCAGCGGCAGTCCACTGCTGCTGTGGCACGACACCTCCGACCGTCCAACACTAGCGGGTGAGCGCGGCCATCTACAGCGGCGGGGCCGGCCGGTCGGGTCCCGTCTGACCTGAAGTGTCGCAGCAGCTGCTGGGTGCTGCGCGTCAGCAGGTCGCGTCGCACCGAGCGCAGCGGGTTGCCCTCCAGCTGGACGGACTTGAGCAGCGGCAGCAGGCAGAGCCGCAGCGGCGCGCTGGGGGAAAGCCCGGCCGCCGGTCACAGCCTGGTCGCGGCGCCGCGCACAACGCAGGCGCCCGCGCCGGGCCAAGTGCACCCTGTTTGGGTTACTTGCCCGGGCACAGACACCCCCAGCAGTCGACGCGCCATACAGTCAAGAAACAGACACGGGGCCGGCAGTTAGCAGCGAGCTCTACTCAGCGGTGTGACGAGGGCAGCGGGCTCTGCTCGGCGGCGTTATAAGGACAGCGGGCTCTGCTCAGCGGCGTGACCCGGGCAGCGAGCTCTGCTCAGCGGCGTGACGAGGGCAGCGGTCTCTGCTCGGCGGCGTTATAAGGACAGCGGGCTCTGCTCAGCGGCGTGACCCGGGCAGCGAGCTCTGCTCAGCGGCGTGACGAGGGCAGCGGTCTCTGCTCGGCGGCGTTATAAGGACAGCGGGCTCTGCTCAGCGGCGCGACCCGGGCAGCGGGCTCTGCTCGGCGGCGTGACAAGGGCAGCGAGCTCTGCTCAGCGGCGTGACAAGGGCAGCGAGCTCTGCTCAGCGGCGTGACATGGGCAGCGGGCTTTGCTCGGCGGCGTGACAAGGGCAGCGGGCTCTGCTCGGCGGCATGACACGAGCAGTGGGCTCTGCTCGGCGGCATGACACGAGCAGCGGGCTCTGCTCAGCGGAGTATTAAGGGCAGCGGGCTCTGCTCGACGGCGTGACACGGGCAGCGGGCTCGAGACACGGGCAGCGGGCTCGTGACCCGGGCAGCGGGGTCTACTCGACGGCGTGACAAGAGCAGCGGCAGAACACCAGGGGCTGCGCGGCACCGCGACACCCAGAGACCGGCGCTCGACGCGCAGTTCTCAGACCGGCGCTCGACGCGCAGTTCTCAGACCGGCGCTCGACGCGCAGTTCTCAGACCGGCGCTCGTCGCGCAGCTCTCAGACCGGCGCTCGTCGCGCAGCTCTCAGACCGGCGCTCGTCGCGCAGCTCTCAGGGCCCGAGACAGAACGTCAGGACGTCAGGACATCGATCGATGCAGGGACAGACGCAGGAAACCAACACAGCCTCCGACACGCCGACGCCGACGACCAAAATGTCGCTGTTCGAATGACGAACAGGTCGAAGAGGTCGTTGACTCGTCACTGACACGGACAGGTCGTTGTTTTTGAGGTCGAGCCGCTCCAGCCGCTGCAGCACAGCAATGTCATCGGGAAGCGATTCGATCTTGTTGTTGGACAAGTCCAAGATGATCAGCGACTTCAGGCTCTCCAGCAGCTCCACGCCGATCTCCTGCGAGCACATATAACGCGGCTGTGACCGCCGGCATACGGCGCGTGCCGACGGGCGCCCGACCTCTGAAGATCAGCACAACTACGCCACTTGGCACGAGCCGAATGACGGCCCCTTCACATGTTTTTTTCCGCAAACAAATGAGCGCATACATGATGCATGCCAAGAAGACGTCCATAAGACGTCCCAGATCAGCAAGCTTAATGCTACATTAAATCAGCTGATTCTGTCGGGCCGCATCGTAAGTGCGCCAAGTGCCATTTTTTTCTTTTGCTAATTTTCATCAAGACCTTCCTCATGTGCTACGCATGCATGGACAGAGGCGAAATCCATTGTTTCTCCGTGAATGTCACAGCGGATGCATGCTAGTCTTCGATGACAAGAATTGTGTTGCATAGGGAACAACACAAAAACAAGCAAAAAACAACAAACAAGCAGACGAACAGCGATATTCAGAACGATGCATCATTTGATGATGTCACTGACGTACAATGCACATACCTTAGCAATACGTAATGAAGTAATGGTGAGTGGCATGTCTAATGCAAATATACACATTTATAGCCACACCTAATAAAACGTCATCTTTCCACTTCCACGCAGCTGTCCCGACCATTTCAATGAATAAGCCGCCAAGCCAAAAGGATTAGAACATGAACCACACATGATGTAATGGTTTAAGGCTGGGAAGTCCCTGTCTTTTATCTGGCTTAGCCCATGCGGAATTCCCCTTGGAGCCTGTAAAGCAGCTATAAACGAGACCCGACAAAATCCAAGTGGAAGCCCTCGCTACTGACTTTGACCTGGTTGAAGCCCAGGTGGAGCTCTTTAAGTGCGTGGCAGTCGGTCAACGGCGGCATCTCGGTCAGCAGGTTCTGCCGCAGGTCGAGCACCTCCAGCTGGTACAGCTGTCCCAGGGAGGCCGGCACCGCGCCCAGACGGTTCCGCGCCAGATCCAGCGCGCGCAGACCTGGCGGGCAGCGCCGCCGGGTCAGCCTCACGCCACTCCCGCCGCGCACACTACGACTACACCGCGGCTCTAACGCACACATCGGCAGGGCCCGACACAAACATGTGCGGGCTTATCGTCCACAACGCAGTAATGTCCACTCACCGCAAGTCGCGCCAAACACAAATTTGCCATGCCTTGGGACGCCGCCCCATGTGGGAAGATCCTCCGCGCGTAGTTGGTGCGCAATGGACGACATGCCATTGGACCATGATCCTCACGGCCAGGTGGAATCACGGCGCCTAAACACAGCGCCAGAGCGCCAGCTGCCGTCTCGCCAACTGCACTATTATGCGCCGGACTAGGCCCGGAATGCCTTCTCAGCGGAACATTGCGTGGATAAGAGCGCTCCAAAGAATCTGGCCGCGCTGAGACGGCACGTCCCGACCGCCGCCGGCTGGGCGACAATGGCAAGGTCACGATCGGCTGCCGTGCTGGACCCGAGCCACGCGCACGTCTCCTGGCACAGACCACGCGCGGATACCCGACACGGGCTGAGGTGGCTGAGCGGCGCGTGACCCTCGTGCAGGTCCAGAAAGACATGTGGAGCGTGCTGAGACCGACAGGCGGCCGACGCTTTATGCAGTGGTGCGGGTACGGTGCAGAGATGCGAAAGGTGCGGTGCCACAAAACAGACCTAAAGGCGGGACCACGAGGAGGGGACCGGCATGCCCAATCCATAGCCAATCACCCGCGCGTCTTTGCTGCACGGGTCAGGTAAGATCTGGACATCATCATCGGCATGCAGAGCTGTGCGAGAAGAAATCCACGGATAAGGTATTGGCTCAGTTCAAACTAGACGAGAACGTAGCAATGTCAAAATGGCTGACAAATCCAGGCACTCAAACCAGTAAAAGTAAGCGGTATAACATTTTGAAAACCTCTGCACTAGCCTGCTGAGGGTATGCGACTATCTGGCACGCTACGCTCGGCTTGTGACGTCACACTGTGGCGTCACATGATAAGAGGTCACCTCACTAGCCCTCAACGAGCATTCAGCCGGCTGGCAGCTTACGTCTGAATAGTGGATTAACTTTGTGGGAGCACTCTTCACTCGGCAAACTCGAGTATACAGCCAACTGACGATTTACGTCTGAACAGTAACGTCAGCTTACGGCAACGACTAGCAGAAGAGCCTGACTGGCCGAACTACAGCACACAGGCAGCCGCCACTCCACATCTGTGCTCGCTGGGCATGCAGTGCGAGGCCGACAGCCGCCGTGAGCACGCCGAGGCCAACGGGCGGCGGCCGCGGCCGGGAAGAGTGCCGGGGCCGACCGCCGGCGGTACGTTACCTCCTCCCGTGTGGCCAGCGCCTGAGGCAACAGCGTCGGTCAGTTGACGCGAGTGACCGTTGACGGGTAAGCGTTGGGAGCGCGGCGGCTGGCCGACTTGGATCGTTACGCGCTCAGCGGCGGAATAAAGAGGAGCCATGGCCAGCGTGCGAATGTGTGTTAGGCGACAGTTGTGTGATGCCAAGACGGCAGCAAGCTATGGCCAACACGTAAGCATGTTCGGGTGATATTTAGACAGACAACAGCCGACGCGGTTACTCACGATAGGACAACACGCACGATAGCCAGCATGTGAAACGACATCAGCCAGAACAGAAAAACATGAGCGTAGCACATATTTGTTAGCATGCAGTTTCGAGTGTTTGTCGCATGATAGTGCGGCCAGCTTGCGGCCGCCGGTCAGACACGCTGCTGGCCACAGGGCACGGCGGTAAGAAACCCCTCAGCGCATTCGGTGAGAGGACGCTGCCGCACCAGCGGGCATGACGGGACACACACTACAGCGTCGCAGGCGTTAGCCATTGCTGGGCACGCGCGTCTACAACCGCCGGTCAAAGTAGGCCCGGCGTCTGGAAAGGTCCCGATCCAGCCCAGCCTCTCGTCCTAACGGAGCACCGAGCACCGTAATACCGGATACTGGATACCACGACACTGGATACCGGATACCGCTCCGCCCTCCGCGGGCACGAACACCAGCTCTCGCTGGTATCGGGCGCCATCGAACCACAGCGGACAGCCAACTGCCGCCGGCGTCTCACTCACTGGTCATCGAGCCAAGCTCGTCTGGCACCGTCTCCAACTGGTTATCGGAGGCGGCCAGACGCGACACCTTGTGCAGGTAGCCCAAGCCGGCCGGCAAGCTCGTCAGGCAGTTGTGCGACACGTCCTTGAACGCGGCGGCACGTCAGTGCGGCGCCCGCCGACCCCGGCCGGCAGGCAGTCCCCAGTGCGAGTGCACGGCGCCCGCCGCTGAGCGGACCCGTACCCGGAGTCGTGCGCTTAACCTAACACCGGCTCAGACACTCCGCACCGCCGTTTGGAAAGAGGAACGGGTGTCGGAGAGGATAGGTCTGAGGGCTGACCGCGGTCGCTGCACGGGCCGTTTCCTTTCAGGTTCAGCCAGCCTTGAAATCAGCCACGCACGAGCTCAAGCAATGCCCCACGGCCCTACACATGTCAGACCGGTTTCTTCCCATACACGTCAAAGTTACCAGGAAAAAAGAAAGGCAACATCCTCTCATCGTACCTTAGCGTCACAACCGCGCAGAGTATTACAGTTCATTACAACATACGATGGTCAAAGCAAGCCCAGATACCGGCCATCGCAGGCCGCGGGGACTGACCAGCAGCTCGAGGTCCAGACAGTCGCCCGCCTGCTCGGGCAGCTGCTCCAGCCGGTTGTGGTCGGCCAGCAGCTGGCGCAGCGAGGTCACGGCGAACAGCTCCTCGGGCAGCCGGCGCAGCTGGTTGTGACTCAGCACAAGCCGAGTCAGCGCGTGCAGCTCGCCCACCGATGCCGGCAGCTCCGCCAGCGCGTTATCGTGCAGCTGCCGACATCAGTCAGTCATGAATTTGGAGAGACAGTCAACTAGGTACCTATTATTACGTCTAACGGACTTCATAGACTTCCGCCCACTAGGATATTGTTGAATTGATAAGAAAGAAAACTTATATTAAGTCTTGTTGGAAAAACCCGCGTACAACAGTTCAGTGTCCCGCGTATAGCAACACCTTAAATGAGCCTAGTAACGTCCACAGGATTATAAAAATTCCCCAAACACATCACCACAACAGACACCAAAATGCAGCAGCATATCAAATGGCGTGTGCTTGGGTCCTGGGCCAACAAAAGATGGTCAAGCTGGCCACACGAGTGAGCCAGGGAATGGGGTCTGTGTCATCAAACCGTAGTGACTGGCAGACCAGCCAGTGCCGGGGCCTGGTGCTGCAGGGTGGCCGCCAGGCCAGCAAGGGTCAATGTCGCGGGACCATGTCCCCCGGCGACTCACATCCAGTGTCTGCAGGTGGGTGAGGAGGCCCAACTCGTCGGAGACGTGCTTCAGCTGGTTGCCGCAGAGAAGCAGCTTGGTGAGCGGCACCTGGTCCCACCAGCGCTCCTCACCGCCGTCCATCGACATGGCCAGCTGCTTTGCCTCGTCGTTGTCGATCTCGTTGATGCGCCAGACCTTCGCTGGGACTGTCAAGAGCGCGGTCACGGTTCACGGTCGGCGCAACCGAAAACGGCCACGACACCGACAACTCGGAACAGAGTGCAGGCAGATAGTGGTCTGGCGCTGCGCAGTATTCGCAGCGAAACTCTCTCGATCTGTAAGCGAGTCATCAACGAAAGCAAGAGAAAAGCAAGAGCACGCTGAACAAACTGCCCACGGCAGCGATTTGTTGCATGACAGGAGACCCACGTAACCACACGTGGTTGCTGCAGACGTGCCGTGACTTCCATGTGCGCGTCGGAGCTGCACGCGGTCACCTCTCACCTTCAGCCAGGTCGCGGCTAGAGAGGTTCAGCTGACCCGACCTCCTGGCGGCCTTAATGATGGCCGGGTGCAGCTCCTTCTGGTCGCCAGGGTTGGCGAACAGCGGCGCGGCGGCACCCACCGTCGCCAGGCCCCTAGGTCGGGGCGGGCCGCGGCGGGCGGGCGCGCCGCTCCTGACCGGCGGCCCCGTCCCCTGCGAGCTGTCCCCGCCGGAGGCGCCCGGCTGCCGTCTGGCTGGGGCGCCGGCAGCCGGCTTACGAACGACCCTCGACGGCACCGATGAAGCTGACGGCTTGTTGGCGCTGGACGCTGGCCGATTACCCGCTGGGATCTGATTACGCAACGGCGCAGCGGATATACCGGCGCGACTTTTTGGTAGTGGACCGGATGACGGGCGTGGTTTTCCCGATGTCTCTGGTAAACCCTCATTCTCTTTGGCTTCTTTGTTGGATCCTGCTATTTTGGCAGATGCTGGCCGCGCGGAAGGTATCGTCTTGCGCGCAATACTTGATGGTTTCATTGTGACCTGTGTTCAGTATGTTGTTTCCTAGAAGACAAGCATAGGGTCCTGTTTTAACAGCATAATAGACATCACATGCCAATGAGTAAAAGTCTGCACTTAACTGAATACTGAACTCCCTTAATACCTTATGACCTGTATGTTTTCTTCTAGTTGAACATAAAACAATACAGTAATATTCAGTTTCAATCCTATCTTCACCAAGCTTTAAACCATGTACACTAGTTACTAGACAATTGTGTTTCCAGAAGAACATGAATTCAGGGGAATAAAACATTTAAAAACTAACCAGCAGAAGCATATACATATGTATTCACTTACAATACCAAAAAATCATGTTTCCTATTTGGTTGGCATAAACATCCATCATACTTTCATACATGTGCTATAGATATTGGTATCATGAACACCAATTTGAAAAACATAGAATACAGTTTGTTATTTATTGCAATGCCAAAAAGAGGGATAGTAGTATTTTTGCCCCTTTCAAACAGATAACCAGCATATATGTGCCACATCTAAAAAAAAACATTTTTGTGAAAAGAATGTCCTACCAGAAACAGGAAGCAAGTTAAGTGCTCAAATGCATGCCAAAGCTGCCAGTTTGAGCAAAGAAAGCAAGTATCACTTTACACTGCCTAACCAGGCCATGAAAGCTCTGGCTTATGAGCATTCCTGCCTGACAAAACCGATCCTTTTATCCTGCCTATTTGCAGCTGCTCACAAGAACCCTGCAAACCTGCAGCATGTGACATAATGCTCTTCTTGGTGTATCCTATTAATCTACTTATAACTGCACCACTCAACACTGAAGCCAGCTGGCATGCCTTGCAGAACTTTATATCAACCACAGTAAGATAAACACCCTATGGCCAGTAGCAGTGACAGTAACTAATCAATGTGTCTGCAAATGGCAAGGGTAATATGGCATTGCTCCAGGTAAATGGTATATTGCAATGGTATTGAGCCAGTCAAAAAGGTTCAGTGCAACTGAAAGGCTTAGCTCAGGTTTACATCAAACAGACCAGACCAAACATTCCAAGACAGCATTTAGCTAGTTTATCTGGCTTGCTAAGATCACTCCACTTTTCACTCTCTCACACACAATCACTCCACACTTTTTCACAGGAACAGAAAAAACAAAGAAAGAACAAAATATTCCACAGGTGAAAATAAAATTGGTTGCCAAAAATTATCTCAAATAGTTCCATTCATTTGTTGTGCACTGATCAGACTTTAACCAAAATATATGTTGTAAGCCTACACATCACTTCTGTCCTTGTGACCACTGTGACAGTAAAGCATCTCCATATCCGCGCCCGACAAACTGGTCTCATCGGTGGCCATGGGCTTCCTGAACGTCCAAATACCAGCCCATATCTATCTGCGCGAAGACAGCTCAATCTTTCTGGCTCGAGTTTTTACCTACCCACTCATAAACAAGGCTTCAGCACCTGCTAGCTATCTCCACGGTGTCTCGATGACCCAAGAACTGTGTTGGACAGTCACTAGAATGCTTACACAGGCAGGCAAAAAACGTTTTCTTTCAAATTTGCAATTGAGTGTAAGGTGAGCGCTCAATGTCAACAAAGGACGGACAGTGCGGATTATGCATTAAGTACCTCGATATTGCAGCATGTGCGCCACGTTCCCTACAACACAGGCCTACCAAATCCTGGGGGACTAGAACCGTGTGCGATCTGTAAAAGCTGGTAATCGTACGACAACGCATGCAAGCGGAGTCCGGCGGGTCACACGCTTCCACAACACCCTTTTACAATCTTGGGGTCTTCGGAACATCGCACAGTCTAGTGGCCTATGAGAGCCCCTCGTTTCTCTGGTTATGCAATGGCATTCCTGGGCGACAGGGTGACTGGTTAGGTCCCTTCCCTGGTAAGGCAGGATGACCCGCTGGCTAATTTGTCACTGAGAGGCAAAGCTCCCTAATTTGCTTAAAGCACGCAACACGGACGGGCAAGTTGCTTACCATGACAAGCAACTCACCCGCCCGTCGTTCATTTGACAGGAAGCCAGCGGCATCCGGCTTTATGGTTTGAAAACATCAAACAAAACTTCACCGTGATTTGCAACCTAGCTTGAGCGTTGCGCTACGCTGTCAGTCATCCCATCTCCTCGTTACGCTCCGGCTGCGCTCGGTCAAAACTCCCTCCCCCCCGTATGCATAACGTAGTGTGTGGACGGCCCTTAGAGGGAGTGGAGGGGGCGGCGGAGCTCATTAAGCACTGATCATAAAAGAACCAAAGGAGTCGGCTGTGGTGCCAAAATAAACAAATGCGGGTCTAAGAGCAAGGACATGTCCCCCACGAGACATGTCAGGGCACGGGTGTAGGAGCATGAATATAATGGCCGTACCAGAACGCGACACAGTAGACAAACTCGAAAATGATCGAGCCAGACCAGTTCAGACTAGGCCACAGGGCAGGACCGGACCAATTCGACGCACCGCAGATGGTGGCAGTTTAGACGGGGCACGGCAATACAGACAACAAGAAGAGGACGGGACGGGCAGGAAGCAAGGCAAGGCGGGACAAAATATCGGTGTGAATTACAGAAAGACGGGTCAGGCAGGACCGGACAAAACATGCACACAGACAGCTAAGAATAGAAGGAACGGCGGTGATGTAGTGGGCAGCGCCCGGCTCTGGACTCGCCCGAGTTCGATTCCTGCCTATATGCCTAATGCATTCCATATGGACCCGCCCGGGGTTCGAGTCCCTCCTACACCCCTAATACATTCCTTATGACACCCCTCATAGACTGTCAGACGCACGCCCCAATCATTAAAGGTGACGAGAGAACGGAATACGGGCATACGGGCCCTGACGTCAGTCGAGTCAGCATGGACAGGGTCAGACAACGCTGCACCACACGCAACACACCGTGCCGAACCGTCCCATACCAGATCGTAGCGGATCGGACCGGATCTCACCCGAACATAGAGAAAATCAGATGTAAACTGAACCAGAGTTGACTGAGCAGGGAAAAATAACGTGAACAAGACAGGTACAGAAATAGACTGCACTGCAATGCAGCCATCACACCACCTAGGTACTGGACAGGACCGAACCGCAGCAGACATGTCTGGGCATTGATAAAAGGAGGTAACCAAGATGTGTGACAACAGGCAAAACAGAACAATACAAGATAGGGTCGGGATGGAGCAGAACAGCAAAACAGCACAGAAGAGCAGAACAGGACAGAGCAGAACAGCAGATCATGGCACAATAGGACAGCAGAACAGCAGAACAGGACAAAACAGATCAGGGCAAAACAGTAACAGGACAAAACAGCAGAACAGGGCAAAACAGCAGATTAGGGCAAAACAGCAGAACAGGACAGAACAGAACAGGACAGATTAGCAAAACTGGACAGAACAGCAGGATAGGACAAAATAACAGAAACAACAGACTAAGGCAGAATATAACATAACAGAACAGCAGAACAGGACAGAACACAGCAGGGTGAGGCAAGGAAAGACCAGTCAAAACAGGATATTGGACAATAGGATGTCACCAGCAATACTACACCCATTACAGGACAGGGATGGAGCATGCTGAAGCACGTGGACCAGACTGGGTATGGCTGTGGACGTAGTTGAACTGGTGGCTATCCCAGCAGGGTGATATACAGAAAGAGCTGGATGGTACAGAATTGAGAACTTGCCCTTACATTCAGACATGTTGGTAATTTAGTTGCATGTTCATGCCCAGTCTTTACTAATGTACATCAACACAGCATAAAAACATGTCTCCTTGATTCCATGTATTAGTGAATGGAGAACACCTTCACAGCATTATCTGCACCACCACTAACAATCCTTTCAGGGCTTGACCAGTCACAGCACAGGACCTTGTCTGTGTGACCCTGCAGGTCATACAGTGGTGCCTTTGTTCCCCTGGCATCCCAGTGCTTCACCATCATGTCTTGACCTGAAGAAACAAACTCATGCTCCCTTGTAGTGCTCCAGCAGACATCTGTCACCCAGCCCTTGTGGGAGGAGTACATGTTTTTCACTATGCTACCTTCACTTGACCTTGGGTCATACAACTTGACATAATGATCTGCTGATGCAGCCAGCAGGGTATGGTGCACCTTTGAAACCGATATGCTGAAAAATGCTTTGTTACCTGCCAACTGGCTCTTCATGCCTCCAAGCTCTACATCCCAAATCTTGATTGTATGATCCCATGATGCTGATGCCAGCTCTGATGGAGATAACCATGAGAGTGATGACACCCCTTGCTTGTGGTCAGAAAGCGTCAGGGCAGGGGTACAGACTGGGGCTTTTCCAATAGTTTTTCTTTTCTTCTTGACCTGTTGCTCTTGGGACTCTTCCCCCACAGAAGCTGTGTTCCAGACATGGATGTTTGAGTCCCATGAGCCAGTAGCTAAGAGAACACCTGGATCCTGTCCAGCCACACAGTCTACACTCTTGGAGTGTCCTTGGAAAACAGTCACACACTGGATGCTGTTCCCAGCATGGCTGTACTTCCAAAGCAGAGCAGACTGATCCATGCTGCAGCTAGCAAATGTTGAAAGGTCATTTTCATGGCTGATCCAGCAGACATCCTTCACTGGCTCTGTGTGACCTGGTATGGTCAGCTTGTGTTCTCCAGCGGTGGTCCATAGATGAAGTGTAGAGTCATAACAGCCAGACAGGATGAGAGATGGGGATGCCTGGACAGCTGACACCCAGTCATCATGCATGAGGCTATCTTCAGGTTCCGGAGGGGAAGACTTTTCGACATATTCAATATCAACCACTGTCTCAGCAGATATGCCTCTCTCGCTGAGAAACTCGCTGACCGACTGGCGCAAGAATTCTCCATGAATGAGGAAGTCGAACTCCACTTCCAGTGACGATTCATCCGCTTCACTTCGCAGGTTGTTGATCAAGCTGTTCAACTCCCGATGCCCGACAGTAATCGGTACAGAGAACGGTGCATCCGGTACTGCATACTTCTCCTGTTTTGTGATGAATTTCGTTTGGATGTGAGGAGCACCGCTGTCTTCATTACCGCTCGCCATGCTGCCGCCACAATGATTACATGTTTAGTGATGTTCGTTTCTGGCTATCATTTCTGCTTGCGGTTCTTGGCTTTTTCTTTTGATGGCGTTTTACCTCATATAAATATAGTTAAGAATTCAGTTATAGTTTTCGATCACTGATATTATCAATCTTATGCGAAATTGTGTACCCATACGAGAAAGAGACTAATTTCGTTATGCTATTATGAACGGAACCCTAAAAGCACTAGCAAAATGTTTCAAATAATGCGCACAATTGCCAAACGTGAGCATCTAAGGTGATCACGGTCGTCAAGTACGTTCGTTTTGGTTCGGCGTTGTTCTGGGTTGCGTGCCGCTGCCGGTAGGATGGGGACGCATTTGGATATTTGAGTAACGGAATGAAGTGTCTTAATATCGTTTGCCGGAATGATATCATTCATGGTTATGATTTGCACCTGTCAGCGATATTGTTCAGATTTTACCCCACGTATTGCACCATCATGCACAGCCGCCACTCCTTGACAATGGGGCAATGCTGCGTTACGTTGCAGCGGACGTTCCCGTGGAAACCTGGGTAATCGTGACATTTCTTGTATTATCGGTTTCATACTAGCAGTTGAACACTATCAGTTGTACTGAAGTGCTTGTCTGATGGTAGAAGTCATTTTTTGGGAGTGGAAATGGGGCATGTTTTAATTTTTTAAGCAAAGAACTGCAATCAGCTATGGCCACAGTGTACCATTTTTTGAGATCCTTTGAACCACTGTCAAAATGTTGTTATGCAGGTTTTGCACAGAAGTAGCATTATGCTCCATCAAGCAGATGCCATGTGTGGGTGGACATCTTGTGCATGTGTGTATGTAGACAGTCATGCTTGGTCAGGTTTCTGTGCAGCTGCTTTTCACTTAAATAGAAACATATCTTTGGCAACAACAGTGTAGGTATACCTTGGTACCTAAGGCTTAAAATAAGCATTGTACATCATTTGTTGTGTTTATGGCAGAATATGTTGTAAATAATGATAAAACAGGTAGATTCATGTTCCTACCTTCAAATTTTAATAACTATGATAGCGAGCACCTGAGCGCTGTACACACTCCACAACCTCGGCCCCTCAGCACCATTGCTGCATTATCATTGTGTGGTCACAACATTACTGCATGCCAAGATCCCTAAAAAATGTGTGGGACCAAAGTACCAATAATAATGCAATGAAATATATTTTGTTTCATGTGTAGGTAAGTTTATGAAACAAACAGGCCAGAATAGACCAGAAGATAGCCTAAACTAGCCTAACTTAACCTGACCTAACCCAACCTAACCTAACCTAACCTAACCTAACCTAACCTAACCTAGCCTAGCCTAGCCTAGCCTAGCCTAGCCTAGCCTAGCCTAGCCTGGCCTAGCCTGGCCTAGCCTAGCCTAGCCTAGCCTAGCCTAGCCTAGCCTAGCCTAGCCTAGCCTAGCCTAGCCTAGCCTAGCCTGGCCTAGTGTAGCATAGCCTAGCCTAGCCTAGCCTAGCCTAGCCTAGCCTAGCCTCGCCTCGCCTCGAGCCTCGCCTCGAGCCTCGCCTCGCCTCGCCCCTCGCCTCGCCCCTCGCCTCGCCCCTCGCCTCGCCTCGCCTCGCCTCGCCTCGCCTCGGCCTCGGCCTCGCCTCGCCTCGCCTCGCCTCGCCTCGCCTCGCCTCCGCCTCGCCTCGCCTCGCCTCGCCTCGCCTCGCCTCGCCTCGCCGCCTCTCGCCTCGCCTCGCCTCTCGCCTCGCCTCTCGCCTCGCCTCGCCTCGCCTCGCCTCGCCTCGCCGCCTCTCGCCTCGCCTCGCCTCTCGCCTCGCCTCTCGCCTCGCCTCGCCTCGCCTCGCCTCGCCTCGCCTCGCCTCGCCTCGCCTCGCCTCGCCTCGCCTCGCCTCGCCTCGCCCGCCTCGCCTCGCCTGGCCTCGCCTGGCCTCGCCTCGCCTAGCCTAGCCTCGCCTCGCCTCGCCTCGCCTGGCATATACCATATTAAGAAGTTTTGTATAGCTGCCATGTTCTCATTTTGCTTTTCATTCCCCACCCAAAACATCATATTTGCCCCCCATGTCGACCAATCTACAAACAGTATGGAAGACTGCTTGGAAACCCAAGACAACTATTTCATTGGATTCTCGTCATCTTGGCCCCCTACATTTTTATGGTTCTTGACCGCAGTATGTTGTGACCATGCGTAGCAATGGCGCCGGGGTCGCGGTTGCTGTGCATTTGCGCGCTCGGATGTTCGCTATCGTAGTTATTTACGTTCCAAGGTAAGAGTTTAGATGACCTGTTTTATGATTATTTATGATATGTTCCGCTTCTAAAACGACGATTGATGTGCAATGCTCTTTCTTAACATTAGGTATCTATGTGTACCATGACCGAATCAACTGCCTAATGTTTTATTCTTTACTCAAGAAATAAGTTTTAAACTTATTAACATTTGACTGTATTATCTTGTCACCTGATATAACATGGCTGGTGGTGACACAAGAGCATGTTATATGCCAAATAACATTGATTGTCGCTCCCAAGTGACACAAGCAGGACTTTTGTGAGTTGAAACCTCATGTCTGCCTCATGTTGGTTGAGCTGTCCTGTCTGACTTGTACCAAACTAAGCCACAATCATGCTGATAGAGTTCATCAGATACATCAAACAAAATGAACTGGTTTGCTGGAACCCTCTATTATACTCAGGATGAAGGCAAACTGCACCAAATCCAAATTCCAATACCTCAAATGTTACATTTACTCCACCCTAAAGTTATACCAAATAATCTAGTAAAAATACATAAACCTGTGACTCAGCCCCTATCATTCTGATAGTGACTAAGATCTTACAGCCTGATTTACCACATCATGCTTATAGGACAAATTTGTATCAAAATATGAAAAGTATGGCTCTAATAGTTTATCATGTGATTGCCCTAGTCATTGAATGCATCATGATTTTTTTGCACAGTTCCCATGTGGTCTCTGGATTGGCACCTTACAGTGTTGTTGAATGTGATGGAACAAAGGAATGGGTAGCCAACATGCTAGTTTTGGTTACCTACAATTTGTTTGATTCCAGGTGAAGTTTCAAGATGCCATTTCGCTTGGGAACAGATCCCATTCGACACACCTTGCAGTACTTGGAAAAAGGTCCTTTGGTGTTCAAGGAGCGTGTGCGGGTAATGCTTGTTCATTACAACCAACGTGAGAAGTCGCACAAAGGAGTAGAGTAAGTACTTTAGACATGAAATACCTCTTATCAATGGCTGCATATGTTGAGCTGTTTTGAGTAGCATTTTGTCACATCTCATGTCAAAGCTGATGGTGGTGTGGTTGTACTAAAAACCTTGTCAGGATATGCCTTGGGCCAATTGCTTTGAAGGTGAATGATTGCAATGTCCTTATCTGTATTAGTTTCTGGACATGATGTGCAGTGTCAATGACTAATTATATGATGGTGTAGATTTTTCTTGCGGTATCCTCAGAGAGTTTCTGCATTGGTACACACCACAAATTCAGTACAAAAACCCAAGTTTGCAACTGGTTGCAATGAAGAACGTGATGCCTTCCACATTCATCCGCCTCTTTCTCGGTAAGTTGTAAACCTGCTGCCTTGAATGTTCTGTCCCGTTCGCGGGACATTGCAACCAAACCAAATATATTTCTGTAGGTGCTCTGAGCCTATGGGCGTATGTGTCATGCACCATATGTTTCCTGTGGTAGATGCTGCAAGTTATGCAATCAGATTTGTAATCTTGTAATGCAGTATTGTATCTGAAATTCGAAGGGTTTTGTTTATGGAAGTAGTGTACGTGATGGCTGTGCGTGTCAGAAATAGTACATGGATTTTTTAGAAATAGCACTGTGCGGGTTTCGAGACATTGTGCACGCATGAATTTGTCAATTCAAAGCTTGGTTGGTGTTGATGTATGCCCTCATTTCGCTTAAAATGTGCCCTTCGAAATGTTGAATCACAAATTAGCTGCTTTTATTTTGATGTTCAAAACACATGTTAGTTCTAAGAGATACAGAATCGTGTACGAGATTTCCATATTATGTGTCGAAATACTTAACTGTAACTTGCCGCAATTTTTTCTCTCCCCTAGAAAACTATGTATTTTAGGGTACTTTTACATGAGAGCGCAGAACAATTTACGTACGATGAATTTGTGAGACAACTCGTCGATGATATCGGTTAGGACCAGGACCAGATGTGGAACAGAAGAAAAAAAATCTAGGACAAATTTTGGTCCCAAGGAGCCGTGCTGGCATAATGTTGCCTGTTTTTCGTTGAATGGGGCGTGGTTGCTGTGAATGGCATTGCCGTGAATGGAAAACACAAAGTCAAAATCCTCAGAGCAGCCGCAAAATGGGACTATACACCACAAGTTAGCTTCATGTTAAGGGCAAATTTTGTGTTTTGGTCCGCTGCGAATTTCATGATGAGTTGCTCCTGGTTGTCGCCTGCACAGTCGGAGCGTGGAACCACCGTTGCTGCATAAAAATAAGGATTTTGTATATTTGGTAGAGTTCGCATTTTTGCATTGCATTTTCCACACAGTTATCAGTTATCAGTTAAAAGGTGAAACCACGTTTGAAACCATATACTCAACCGACCAATGTATGTACTCACCGACGTTGTAACTCAACAAAACCAACCAGCGTTTCTTGTTCGTGACTGTAGCGATGTCTGACGTGCCACCGTGTGTTCCCCTGAACTATTCAGCCTGAATGATTCTGTTCCACCGCAGACAATGATGAAGAGGTATTAGTCAATGCCGAAGGGAAGTCTAAAGAAGACATACTGTCCCACTTGACAAAAATTCTCGGGAAATCCGCGTGAGTAACCCCGTCCCAGCAAAGAGACTTCCTCGGCATGCGATTTCAAGCTTCATTAAGTCACCCTCTGATGGGTATGGACGTGGGTTTGGGACGTATTGTCGTCCCTATGATGTACGATGCCACGGTAGTTATAGAACAAGGGTTAGAAATGTCATATCCGTGGGTGAAATGCGAGCGTCAATTACATACGGTTTCCAAGATACCGCGGTCCTCGGGTGGATGCAGGGCGTTGCTGCGTGTGGACCTGGCTATAGAACTGCAACTGCAACTGCAACTGCAACTGCAACTGCAACTGCATCACTGGTCTGGCCCAATTGCGAAGGCTCCCAGCATCACCGTCCTTTTATATGAGAGTGATGACACCGTGACTAGTGTCGTTTGCCTGTTTTCAGATCGGTCTTGGCTGCGGAGCAGAAGGAGGCGCAGATAGTCGAGAACGTGTCGAATTTCGGCGAAGGCTGCGGACGGCATTGTATATGCGAGGTGCCGGGCCAGGTGCCCTGTCCCGGGATCGTACCTCTGCCCAAGGAGTGGCGGGGGAAGTACAAATACGGCGACTTGGACGATTGAATCTTTGCTATGAAGTATATTGCTGTGCTGTGCTGTGTAGATGTGAATACATGAAAAAGGCGTATGTGTGACTTGTTCGTAACAGATTGCTTGCAAGACAAGACAAGGACCCCAAACGAATTGGGAAAGTTTGAGATGGTATGCAATAGCAGCTGCGATACCGTGCTAATCCTGGCTGCCAGAATCGTGGCGTCTATGGAGAACACATGGAGCATCGGTTTGCTTCAGGTCATTTGTCAGTAGAGCATTCGATCACATCGATTTCCCAGCCGTTTTTCTAGCCGCAAACATTGTGCTCATTGGTTGGAAAGCAACCTAACAGCCGGCATGGCAATCTAGTGCGGCAAAATGTTAAATGTGTATCGGCCGGGACGCGATAGTTTGTTTACTTTTCATTTATTGGCATCGTAAAGACTAACTCGATGAATGACGAGCCATTCATATCATTTCGGGTTTTTAACGTGGTTCAGGATGACTGATGTACCTGAAATGAGAAAAAGGCTCTAACTCCTGGTTGTTGGCGTTGTCAGTCCAAACTCCTTTCGTGGAGCTAGCGGTCTTCATCATACCAGAAGGTGCTAGTGGAGAGACGTTTTACAGCAGAATAACGACAGTATTGACGGTGTTCAATATTAAGATCTGTGGTCACCTTCTAGTGACCCTCATCTGACTCTCACGCCCACTCTGCTCATCCTCACTCTTGATGATACGCATAGCTCGATTTCGTGTAGTCAGCATGTCCTGGTTTGTTGAAAGTGGTTGACTCTGCGTGGGAACTTAAAACTCAACATGGCTGATGCGCACTGCGCTCGCATTTTGTGCCTGATGTACACACTACACACTACCGGGAGCCGTGATAAAGGAGCTAGAGTGACGAATATATACGGAGAGAGTCATAACAGCCAAGGCCCTAAAACAACCAGAAGCCAAGCTGAGGCCGATACAGCCAAGCTGAGGCCGATACAGCCAAGCTCATGCCAAAGAAAACAACAGTACTGGACGGAACTGAACAAAAAGATGGATCTGGCTCGACAGGGCAGGAAAGCACAGGACAGAAACTTCAGGAAGCAGTCTTAATCTACTACGTAGCACGTGTCGGATACAGAACCACTCCAAACAGGGGTTAAACCGAGCTGGAGTGGATTGGTTCCCGGTTTGGGAGGGCACGACAGTGATGACCTGGGTATGTTAAGATTTTGTGACTTGGCTAGGACCGGATCGGAACGAACCATAGGACCCCTCCGGACGGCACAGATCCTGGACTGTCCTGCCGGTTGGTCTGGTCAGGGCTAGCCTTACCTCCCCATGGATTGTGCCGCTCTACGACTCGGTCGTTTTGTCCTTTCCTGTCCTCCCTGACCATCTCTGCCTCTTTCCTGTCCTCCCTGACCATCTCTGCCTCTGGTCTGATCTTGTCTGGCCTGTTTGCGTCTTGTTCTGTCTTCCCCGGCCTTGGCTGGTCCCTGGTCCGTTGTGCTGTTCCGTCCTGCTTGTATCTGTCTCTGGTCCCTGCGCGGCCATATTGGCACGATGCGGCCTGGTTTTATCCCGTATTGTCCCGTTTTATGCCTTCCTGTTCCCATTGCCTTACCCTTGCATTCATGGGGGGTATTTCTCGAAGTCGATGCAGAAGCTGAGCAGCATGATGTATAGCCGCTTCTACACCGCGGATACGTGGCGGGTGGTGAGGACGACGGCGCGTGAGCTGGGCGTCGGTTACTGCGTTCTTTGTGGTCCGGTCCGGGCCAACCCAATTCGTCATTGTCCAGCCCATTCTGGCTCAGTCTGGTCAAATAAATATCATCCTGTTCTGGATGTCTGCTGCTTCTGTCCTGACCTTGCCAGGTAACTTGTATACGATCTTGTCCGATCTTGTCGGATACGGTCCGGTCAGGTCCAGCCAGTCTCTGACCTATCCCGTCTACATCTGCTCGGACTGGTTGTGACGTTTTCACTCAGACCTTTCTGCCCTGTACGTTCATTTGTTTGGTGCGGTTCTTGGCGCTTTTACGTTGCGGCAACTCACCAACAACGTCTGGCCGGTGCATGAGTCGGGACCAGCCTGCGCTAGAAGGGCTTGGGTCATGGATATGGACATGGACATTCCAAGGGTTTGGATTACATCCAAAAAATGGACCAAGTAAAGCGAGGCCATGAACTTGGAGTTAGTCTGGATAGGCTCTACAAATCTGGGCTTGGCGATTTCCAGTCCCACTAAAAAAAACTTGTTTCGGTCCGTCTTAGTCCGACGAAGCCCACCCAAACCCAACGCCACCCAGCTTGGTCACCTTGTTTGTTTGTCTTTTAGAAGGAGCTGGTGCAACCCATCCAAGCAAACTCAACCTGTCCCACGTAGGCCCTGTCTGCCCGATCACAAAATTTGCGGGTTTCAGTGACATCACAGAATGCACCAGCTGAGCGCTGTACAACACCAGCGGTCCACTGCATCGTGACCTTGCATGTCGCGCATCATCATCGCTAGCGCTGCGTGCGCGGTGGTGGTGCGGGTGGGTGGTCTTGCGTATGGTACGTGGGGGATACTTAGTGTAATTATTTATCCTTTTCTGATCACTCGCCCTCTCACGCCGATTTTGAAGGAAGCTTAAGGCGGAATTATGGCTTTGTTTTACTTTGGTATGGCTTGCATAAGCAGTGTTGGATTTATCGCGCTCACAATGATAGTGGGGTGTGTTGTGTACTGACGCATTGGGATGCCCTACCCAAGACCAGTCTGATCCAGTTCGAGAGATTATTTCTGTTGTATTCTAGCCTTCCACCAGGGTATCACAGGAAATCTCAAATATGGTTAGATGCTGTGGGATGGCTGCACCTGATGGGCGCTGTGTGACCTACAGCAGTTGATGTGCTGTAGGTCATGTAGGTCAAATACCCCAAATCATCATCATCATCTTGCCTGCACCTGGCCACAGTGATCATTTAAAGCCAGTTTGTATCTGGCCATTCCTTATTAGATGTACAAAATGATCCATGGTGGGATTTGTGCCTGGTGATGATGGATTATGAGCACAGCACCTTTCCTTCAGGCCATGAAAGTGAGTTGCATATGGTTTAACTCTTGATAATAGAGAAAATCTAAAGCTCAAAAGTGCTGGTGATGCTGTGAATCACAACATGTGGTCTAGGCTGTGAATCAAAATGTGTTAGAGTACCAATTTTCCATTTATTTACATTCCAGTGAGACTTTGTGTTGCAGGTCCACATCTCTGTGTCCTAGGCTCTCCAGGTGAAAATTTGGGGATGAAAATTAGGTGAATAGCAAAACAGCTGGGACATCATGATGTGGTGTGGACTGCAGCCAAAAGTTCATGGTCCATCTTAAATTTAAATTTGACACTATGAGCTCTGGTGAGAGCAGTTGGGCCTAGTCTAGGCAGGAGTTTCTGTAACATTTTCTGGAGTGCAGCTCAATTACTGGAGCTCATCTTTATAAACTAGCTAGTCATATGTTTGGCATACACAGTTGATTTCAAATTGTTGATCATGATTGGTGTTGTTAGGTGCCTAATAAAACTGCCTTGGTGTTCTGCTATCTGGAATATGCATGCCAGATAAAGTCAAAACTTGAATGTTAGTGCTAAAAAATGTATTGATTAAACTCAAAGTCAAAACAGTGTATCATACCATACATTGTACAATGTCTTAGGCATTGTTCTGATTTTGTGTGACATGCATAGGTTCACATTGCTATGTAGGTACTAATTGATCATGCTTTTTTCTATTTTTCTATAGGAGTTAGGTTATTGATTAGGGCATGATAATCAATGCACATTATCTTGCTCCTTTTTCAGAATACCTTGATGTTCTGTCTTGTGATGACTGCTTGCAGACTCATTGTAATCACATTTTTTGAATTATTTCCTCAGGTGAACCACTAGAGGCCAGCAACCATGGAGGACATGCCAACAGACTATGATGCTATTGTTGTTGGCACAGGTAACTTTGTTTAAACCACTATCTGATCCTGTGCTTCAGAAGTGTGGTGATGACTGGTTCCAGCTATGAGGACAATTTTTGTCTTCTATTATGCATATCTTATTAAAGGGTACAGCCTTCACAAATAAGTTATTTTATTCCAAAGGCTGAATGTTTTGTATGTGGTGGTATCCAATTTGTCAGTGAGGCTGATGACTAACAGATCACTCTGATTTCAACACAGCAGGACACAACTTGAGAAGCAGCTGATGGGCTTGAAGTCATGCCAAAAGTCATTTTGTGAAACCAGCATGGTCTATTAGTCACTTTTTAATGTGACCAGAGCTTCTAGTCATTTAGGAAACAATGGTCAGCATATTTTATCTGAAGTGTCTGTTTTATATTGTCTCACACCTAGAATATTGCAGGGCTTGTGGAGTCAATTTATGCTGCTGCAGCCGCCCGTGTGGGAAAAACTGTACTTCACATTGACAGGTCAGTCAACTCTAATTGCTGTCATTTTGTAACACTATGATGATGCCACATATTGTGGCTATGTAGCCATATGAATGTGGTTTGCCTGTGATGCAATATAAGACATACATTACTTCCCTTTGTTTCAGTCAAGGGCTTGAATTGTGATCACAATTGGGTTAGGCAATAGTTTCATGCAGACCCTGGTTCTAGATCAGGCTGGGACCAAAGGCAGGATTAAGGCCATTCATACAGGGTCTTTAATCTCTTCTTCTGTGCAGCAGACTCATCCGGACAGTGTCTTTAGTAGTGTGGCCTGTCTGACCGCCCCTGCCTCACCCCAGGAATGACCACTACAGTGGTCAGTGGGCAGTGCTCAGCCTCAGTGGTCTGCTGGAGTGGGCCGAGCGGCAGGAGGCGGCCGACGCCACGCCGGTCGCGTCGCCGCCGGACACCGAACCGGACACCGTGCCGCTGCGAGCCCGCCAGCTTGTGCACGAGCTGGTGCTGCGCTGGCATATTGAGTGAGTCCAGCTGGGGTGGGCTGACTGGTGGTGGGATCGGCGGCGGGTGAACCCTGTCGTCAACTCCTTGTGAGGCGTAGGATAGACGATGGCAGAGTTGGCTTGGTTGCAGCCGGCGGAGATTTGCCAGTGGCAGATAGATATTGTCTAGTGAGGACCCTGCCACTAGCACCATGGACAGTATCTGTTATTGTTTTACATCTGCTTTGTGTTAATTAGAAATTAATGCCATACAGTGGTGTAAGGACCTTGGTATACTGTGCAACATTGTTTTTATGCATTACAGAATATGGCAGCCGGTTGTTGGGGCTGATGGATCCCCTTTGCAGGGAAGGCGAGCCAGAAGCCTCTTCCGAGTTACCCAAGATTTGCCTTCCCGGACGTCCTGTCCAAACGGCTGCAGCCACCCCAGATGACACCAGCACGGCCGTGTCGGAGGACCAGTCCATGAGTCGGGTCGGGCCAGGGACGGTCCAGGACGAGGCGCCAGGTCCTGCCCCGCAGATGGAGGGGCAGGACGCAACTCCTGGGCAGTCTGCTTCTCTGCCCACCGAATCTGCTTCGCTACATGCAGAGTCCGCGTTGCCGACTGCTGAGTCTGCTTCGCCACCCACCGGGTCCGCACCTCCACCTTCAGAAACCGTTGCTCCACTCACGGAGTCCGCTTCTTTGCCCGCGGAATCTGCTCCTCCGTCCACGGAGCCAGCTCCTTCACCCACGGAGCCCGGTCTTCCACCCACGGAGTCTGCTCCTCCACCCACGGAGTCCGCTCCTCCACCCACGCAGCCTGTTTCAGTAGCAGCCGAGCAGTCTGCTTCGCTAGCTAAGGAGTCGGCCAGCGGCGAGGCGCCGTGGACCATCAACAGAATGAAGAAACTCAGCCGTCGCTTCAACATCGACTTAGCGCCCAAGGTAACCTGCTGTCCAGAGCTGTGCTGTTGTCAGGCGCTGGGCAAGTGTCGTGCAGTGGTCAGAAACTGTACAGCTGGGCTGTCATGTGCTGTACAGCTGGTGTCCGGCGGCGCCGTACAACCTATGTTGCTACAGTGTCAAGTAGTGTACAGCTGTTGCTGGGCTGTTGTCAGGTGCTGGGCAAGTGTCGTGCAGTGTTCAGAAACCGTACAACTGGGCTGTCATGTGCTGTACAGCTGGTCTCCTGTGTTGTCCGGCGGCGCTGTACAACCGATGCTGCTCCGGTGTCAAATACTGTACAGTTGTTGCCGGGCTGTTGTCAGGTGCTGTACAGCCGCGGCACGCTGGTGGAGCTGCTGATCTCGTCCAACATCGCGCGCTACGCTGAGTTCCGCTCGGTGGGCCAACTGCTGACCCCGCTGCTGGGCCAGCTGCAGCCGGTGCCCAGCTCGCGCGCCGACGTCTTCACCACCCGCCACGTGTCCGTGGTGGAGAAGCGGCTGCTCATGAAGCTGCTTAGCTTCTGCCTCGACTTCGAGAAATACCCCGACGAGTACAAGGGTGAGGGAGTGGTGTGGGTGCGTACGAGTTGTTTCTTCGTGTATTTCGTGTTGTGGGAAACACAAGGTACCACCTACTTTACCTGCGTTAACTGGGCACCTGATCATGTGGTCCAATGCTGTTATTGTTATATGATGATAGTTCTGAAGCAGTTGCGTTACTGTCGTAAATTGTGTTCTGCGGTTTATTCAAAGCGAGGAAGGATTGTGTGACACATGGTGATTTGTCCGCAGCTTTCGAGCAGAAGCCGTTCAGCGACTTCCTGCGCTCACGCCGGCTGACAGACACCCTGACGCACCACGTGATCCATGCAATCGCCATGGTAACGCCGCAGACGCCGACGCTGCAGGCGCTGCTCTCCACGCAGAAGTTTCTGCGCAGCCTTGGTCGCTATGGCAACACGCCGTTCCTGTGGCCGATGTACGGCAGTGGGGAGCTTCCACAGTGCTTCTGCAGGTATGTGATTGCCCAACTGGCGTGAGGATGCCTGGCTATGAGCTGTGACCGCGTACGTGCGTGAATGCGATACATATTGATGATGTTATTGTCGTTGCATTCCATGCTCCTGCATATTGGGTGCCACATAACGTCATATGTCCGCCTGCCCACATTCTTTATTCGGTATAGATTTGGTAGCTTGCATTGGATTTGGCACTTTGGACATGTTTGCTAGTTTTCGCCACGTCGGCAGGCGTAGGGCAATGAGTGACGTACCGTGTGGTGTTGGGTCAGCAGTCAGTCCGCTATCTCCAGACCCTGTGTCCAATGGCCATTTGTCAAGCTGTTGTCGTGGGAATGGATTTATTGATGATGGCCTAACCCGGGTCTTGGTTATTATGCATGTCAAAAGCTGTCGCTGGTTAGCCAGATACGTCGGGCCTGGTCCGGCGGTTCTCTGGGTCTGGTCAGGCAGACCGTCGAGTCCCGCACGCCAGACCCGTGCCCCGGCGCCGGCCCCTGACCGGGCGCCGCCGCCCGACAGGATGTGTGCCGTGTTCGGCGGCGTGTACCACCTGAGCCGCGGCCTGGACGCGCTGACGGTGGACGCGACCGGCGCCGTCTCGGGCGTGCTCTCCCAGGGCCAGCGGCTTACCTGCCGCCGCCTGCTGCTGGAGGAGGCGTACCGGCCGGCGGGCGGCGACGACGCGGCCGGCCTCTCCCGCGCCGTCCTCATCACGGACAGGTACCGGCAGAGTCTCCGGCCTCCCCCGCGCCGTCCTCATCACAGACAGGTACCGGCGGAATCCCCGGCCTCCCCCGCGCCGTCCTCATCACAGACAGGTACCGGCGGAATCCCCGGCCTCCCCCGCGCCGTCCTCATCACAGACAGGTACCGGCGGAATCCCCGGCCTCCCCCGCGCCGTCCTCATCACAGACAGGTACCGGCGGAATCCCCGGCCTCTCCCGCGCCGTCCTCATCACAGACAGGTACCGGCGGAATCCCCGGCCTCCCCCGCGCCGTCCTCATCACAGACGGGTACCGGCAGAGTCTCCGGCCTCCCCCGTGCCTTCGTCATCACAGACAGGTACCGGCAGAGTCTCCGGGGTCTCCCGCACCGTCCTCATCACAAATGGGTACTGGCAGAGTGTCCGACCTCCCGCGCCGTCCTCATCACGGGCGGGTACCAACAGAATCTCCAGCTGTTGTGCTTTCTGATCGCATTGCAGGTAGTTACTGACCTTGTTGCTAACGGTGCTGTTCATCTATGATTGGTGCAGTTACTGCTCTCATTGCTACAGCTCACACATGAGTTCACTATTGTTGCTGTGTGGTAAGGCTAGCATCCCCATGGTCCGAGGTAGTCCCGTGCAACGCCATTCATAGACAATGTGGATCGCAGAACATGAGCTCAAACACACGGAAAGCCACATGTTCTTTACATCAATGCATATTACATTGCGGACGTGTGGCCTTAACAGACAACTTAGATGGATTGGTGGTTCTTGTGGTGGTTCCACTTCTCTGCGAAGTGGTCTTCTTCTGGGCGACGCTTTTGCCGCTGTTGTACCGCCGTCGTGAGCGGCTGCTGTGTGCGGCAGGTCGCTGCACCGGGCGGCCGGGGACCAGGTGCTGCTGATCCGTCTGCCGGCCGAGGAGGGCAGCCCCGGGCCGGTCACCGTGCTGCAGGTTGGCACCGCCGCCTCGGCCGCGCCAGCCTCGCTCTGTGAGTACCGTGTTGTACTGCTGTCTGTGTGTGTGTCACGCTCTTGTACCGCACGGTCTCGCTGTCGCTGTACCACACTCGTGCGGCTATGTGAGTACCAGACACGCCTGGCTCTGTAAGTACCGCGTCCGCCTCGCTCGCTGAGATCGTTTCCGTCCAGTTCTGCGAGCACGGAGCCCATGCCAGCTGGTGAATACTGCACTCAGACCACCCCCACCACCCGTGAAAGCTCGCGGCATGCGGACGGCGTGAGAGGTGCTGGTCATACTGAGCTGTGGGATGTGATTGGCTCGGTGCTCGCACGCTGTCTCTGCGGACTGTAGACCCAGTGCACCTGATGGCAACCTGGTGTCGCGCTGGAGGACCCGATCTTACCCACGTCTGGCCCGACGTGACAGATAGACCTGAGTGGACATGGAATGGCCTTACTTGCCTTCTCCCTGCACACATTGTGCACCCAGCGCGACGCAGCCTCTTCCTGGGACCTGGTGCACCCTGCCTGACCTTCCCGCTCCCACAAACCTGGTGCGCCTTGCCTGACCTCGCTCCTGCAGATCTGGCGCACCCTGCCTGACCTTCGCTCTCCCCCAGACCTGGCGCACCCTGCCCGACCTTCGCTCTCTCGCAGACCTGGCGCACCCTACCTGACCTTCGCTCTCCCGCAGACCTGGTGCATCTTGCCTGACCTTTGCTCCCCGGCAGACCTGGTACACCTGACCTGCGAGCGGCGTGAGTCGGCTGAGCGTGACCTGACGCCGGCCGTGGAGCGACTGCGGCGGCTGGCGGCGGCCGACGGCGACGACGGTGCCGAGGCGGCACCGCTCCGCGTGCTCGCCAGCCTCTTCTTCAGCCGACGGCGGCCGGGTGCCGGCGCCGGGTCGCCACCGGCCGGCGTCGCCTTCTGCTCCGGACCGGACGAGCACGTCGGCTTCGACGCCGCCGTGAGGGAGGTCAGTGAGCGCTCTGCTGGAGGTGGCCGGCTGCGGCGGTGGTGGCCGGCTGGGCCGCGTGAGCATCGGAAAGGAAGGCTTCGTATGTGTGGAGGTGTTTCTCTGTGTCGTGCATTAAGCTGCTCTTTTTTTGCATTCGGTTGAGGTTGGACGAAGTGCAGTTTGTTGTCAAGCGTAGGCCGCTTTTTAGCGGAGGAGTGGTGTTAATCAATCAACAGGCCTGACATTCGTGTTACTCGAGCATCAGTATCATTTCAGCTGCAACACCAATATTGTCTGTGGGCTGCTGTGAGAAACGCGTGGGTTGTAACACACTGCCTGGCGTGCGCAGCTGGGACGGCCGGTGTGGTGCGCTGTTTGGCTGCTGTGTGGCTGGTGTGTAGCGCGCTGCGTGACCGTAGTGTCCGGTGGGTGAGCTGCGTCCGCTCCTGCCGCAGGCCCGCGAGCTGTTCTCGGCTCACTTCCCGGACGAGCCGTTCCTGCCGCGCGCGCCGGACCCCGAGGAGATCATCTTCTTCGACGAGCCGGCCGAGTCGGTCGTGACCGGCGGCGCCCGGCCCACGGAGACGAGCGCTGGGGCAGACGGCTCGACTGGACAGGGTGACAGCCCACCTGCGCAGGGAGACAGGCCGGCCACGCAGGGGGACAGCCCGCCCGCGCAGGGAGACGGCCCACCCGCGCGAGGAGACAGCCCGGCCGCGCAGGGAGACGGCCCGCCCGCGCAGGGAGACGGCCCACCCGCGCGAGGAGACAGCCCGGCCGCGCAGGGAGACGGCCCGCCCGCGCAGGGAGACGGCCCTCCCGCGCAGGGAGACGGCCCGCCCGCGCAGGGAGACGGCCCTCCCGCGTAGGGAGACGGCCCTCCCGCGCAGGGAGACGGCCCGCCCGCGCAGGGAGACGGCCCGCCCGCGCAGGGAGACGGGCCGCCCGCGCAGGGAGACGGCCCGGCCGCGCAGGGAGACAGCCCGCCCGCGCAGGGAGACAACCCGGCAGCTCAGGGAGACAACCTGGCCACCCATGAAGAGAGCCCGGCCGCACCCGAGGGCGGTGTCGGGGACGGCGTTAGAGGTGGAGGTGGAGGTGTGGCGGCTGCTGACGCCCAGGGACGGGCACCCGAATAGGCCCCGAGCCACGCCAGGCATCTGACCCCCGCTTTACCTGTGCTGAGCTGTCGATGTATGTACGGCTGTCTTTGTGCTGTGCCGGCACGGCTGCCAGCGTGCTCCTGGGACCGCACTGCGCAGTACTCTGCCGAATGCCCGTGTCGGGCCTTGCTGGTATGCGCAGCTTCCCTGTGTTTTCCATGTGCGTTAGAGTTTTGGTAGCTGGTGTACTCGCCGCGAGGGTGGACGGATATATTGCCGTTAAGCTCGTATATGCTGTTCGTGCAGGGCATGGTATATCTGGATTGCAGCTTTATCTCCAGAAGATGTGTATGTGATTCGATTGCATGATCATGCATGCATTCCTCTGAAGCTTATACCCAATGCAATTAATGTCGTGGTGTTGTTGCAAAGGGTATCTCATTGCTTTTGCATTTGTTGTGGCGGCTTGAGTATTTGTGTTTCGATGGCTTGAAATGCATTTCCGATCTCTGTGGGCGCCGCTATATTGCCTTTATCCGGGCTCGTGAGCAACATACACCGGGTATTTTCGGAGGTATAGCAGCAGTTTGCTTAGTGCCAGCCCCCCCCCCCCCCTTGCCGATATACCTTGAGTTTGTGGGTTACATGCTAAAATCCGGTACAGTGGAAACAATACATTTGAGCCAGCTATGCTGTAAGCGTGTGGTGCGTGCTCCATTCTCAAGTACGAAGGCGTTGCTTTGGTGGTCGCGCGGGGCGGTGTCGGATTCGCTGAACGTATCCGCGCGCGCGGGAACTATTGGCGACGCAATTGGCCGTCGAAAGCAAATGTTGGGATTAGAGAGCCCGCAGCTGACTTGCATAAATGCTACGGCCTGCCAATCATGGTAGGCAGTGGAAGCAAGCATTCCACCCCATCTGCGCTAGAACTTTGACTCACTCGCCGCGTGCCCAATTTGTGGTGTAGTGGTGTTTTCGGTCGCGCCGACTGCATTGGTCATTTGGCGCCGCGTGCCCAAGTAATATACCGCGGTGTAGTAGAGAGAAGCCACCAAAATAATTACATTGCCGTGAACACACCCATGGTCGTCTCCCATTTGCGAACCAACAGCGTTGCATTGCATCGACATCCACGCTCAATCTCTGACCGTACTATTCAGCCAGTGGGTGGGAACTGCAGCTTCCGAGCCATGGCTTAGTTGACAGAGCGCCGGACAACTAACGTGCCAGGCATGTATTATACCAGTTATGTGCGTGTATATATGCACATATAAACATGCATATGCACGCATACATGTGCCAGTTTTTATTTGGTTAGACTGGAACCCTGCCTATGACCACATATCATTTCAGATTTATGGGATTAGGGACTGGTAAAAGTTGGGCGTGCATAATGCTTTCTGTAAAGGGTAATGAACTGGACAGGGCGATCCGGCCGACGGCAGAAGAGGCCATATGAACCCCGACTGGTATCCGAAACAACGATTTGAGCGTCTGATCGGCGCAGGAGTTCGGACGTGGCCAGTCGGCGATCTGTTGGTGGATGTGTAACGTTAGCCTCAGTCATCTGCCGGTAGATGTCAGCGTAGTGGTGCGTCGAATTCTGATAACAGGTGTGCGATTCCGTCATCCGTGAACGGGACTGTAATTACGTCCGGCTGCCGGAGTCGCGAGCGTCCCGGCCGTGCCTGCGTCGCTGCCCCAGTTCCCCGACTCTGGCCAGGCCAGCGCGCGTGTCCGAATCCGCGCCGTCTGCGACGGTCCCGGCGCACGTCGCCCCGCCGGCCGTCACGCTCCGCCGCCGGCGCGTCGCCCCAGTTGCAGATCCGGTGCGTTCGCGGCGCGCCCAGCCGTGTGTCGGCCGGGCCGGTGTCGGAGCGGTCTCGGTCGGGTGCTGGAGCGGGCGGTGCAGCGGGACGCTATGCCACTGTTCGGCCTACAGCGGCGGCGCAATGGCGACAGTCCGGTGAATGGGGTGGCGGCGGCGCCGAAGCGGGCGCCGCCCACCCCGCGACCGCGCTCGAGCGTGCCGCCTATGGAGGAGCGGGCCCACCCGTTGCCACGGCCCGAGCTGGTGTTCCACTGCCAGCTGGCGCACGGCAGCCCCACCGGCATCATCACGGGCTTCAGCAACGTCAAGGAGCTCTACGAGAGGATAGCCGAGTGCTACGACATGTCCTCGTCGGAGGTGAGCCGTCGTACTGAGATAACGGACCGTCTGGAGTCTTCCTGAGTCTTCGCTGGTTGAGGCGACGCTATAACGGTTGCAGTCACACCGAGCAGTCGGTTGTGGAGGTCACACACCGTAGCTGGCCATGTGCTGCTCGCGGCTGGGGATGCCGGTAGTGTAGTGGTTAACATGTCTGCGTTGACCACTGCGCGTCTGGGGAGCCAGAGGTACGGGGTTCGATTCCCCGCGGTGCCAGCCTTCCTGCCAGGGTGAGAGGCGGGTGACGCCATCTAGCCCCAGCAGCTGAGTGCGTCGTAAAGCCCCAATCACACGCACACACACTGCTCACGGCCGGACCCCGGCGGCGGAGGTGGCCGGCCGGTCTTCAGGCGGGGGTGCCGTGACGAACAGTACAGAACAGAACAGTACAGAACAGAACGAACAGAACAGAACTCGACGAACAGGTCGCCTGCCCCGGCGGCGGCATGGATGAGCAGCGCCGGCCGCCGGGTCGCTGTTGTGCGGCTTCCCCCGGCCGGGCCGACCTTGTCCGCCTCTGGCGCAGCGGTGCGGGCGTTCGCTGCGGGCTGTACAGCTCGGAGCGGAGCGCAGCTGATCGCCGCCGGCAGCCGGGACTCTTGGCTCCCGGCCTCCCGGCCCCCACGCCTCCGCACCTCTAGAACGCCAAGGCGGTAGACCCCGATCAACACTTCCGGCTCCTACACGGTTCTAGTACTACTACCGATCTCTGACGACTCGCGCAGTGTCACCGACCCTTGGTCGTGCGGGCGCGGGGGTCAGCGACCCCAGACCATACAGGCGCCACCACTGTTCCGTCGGTCCCGACCATGCAGGCTACACCACTGGCCGCTGTCACGGCTGATATGGACTGCAGCGTGGATCCCTGACCAGGCAGCAGCAGTGGGCCCTGCCTATGCAGGCAGCACTAGTGACTCCGCCTCGACTAAGTTAGCAACCACCCGACCTGTTCTTGACTCGGGGTTTTAATCGGCGTTTGGAATAACCCAATTTTCGTTGAGTAGAGGTGAAACGTGTTAGGCTTTGGACCGTGATTGGGGTCCGGAAACAAAGCTCAAGCACCCACATCATCGGTGAGCCAATTAAAACATGAATGTAAGCAACAGTGTATTTATGTCCGTGCTCCGGTTAGGAATTATATTTATGTGTTCCATTTGATACGATATTTCCCAAACCCCATCGACGGCAAACCAAAGCCACCGTTCAACATGCAATCGGAATCAACTCAAGTTTGTCACGTACCGCTTTGAATCACCGCCGAAATCAATCCCCTGGGGTTTGATCAATCAAATCAATCCCAAGATCAAAATCAATCCCATACGGTTTGGAATCGAAGTTGGAAATGATTTCTACTGACAGCCACCTCTGAACCCAGCACACTGCCTATGCATATAAGCAGTGCCACCAGCCCCTAATAAAATATGTTCTATGCTGCCTGGCCCTAGCTATAGTTTAGTTATACCCTTTACCCTCAAAAAGCCGGGAGCTCATTATGCAAGTCCCCTGTTATGACTTATGATGGATGGCCGGTGAGACTGTGGGCATACGTCCCTCTGCCCGGGCCATATAATTAGCCCCATTGATTCCTAACTATGTAGGCAACATCACTGACTGTCGACCATAGAGATAGCACTACTCGCCCATGGCGATGAACAGGACGCTACTGACCCCTGAGCACTGATCTTAGAGGCAACGCTACCGACCCTTGGCCACTGCCTGCGTGATCAGGGTAATGACTGACGCCGTCTACAGAGACATCTTCACTTACCGCTCACTGTAGAGGCAGCGTCACCAAACCCTGGTTAGCATACTCGGCCCTGGTTAGCATCACTGAGCCCTGGTTAGCACCAATGGGCCCTGGTTAGTATCACTGGGCCCTGGTTAGCATCACTGGGCCCTGGGTGGCATCACTGGGCCCTGGTTAGCATCACTGAGCCCATGTTAGCATCACTGAGCCCTGGTTAGCACCAAGGGGCCCTGGTTAGCATCATTGGGCCCTGGGTGACACCACTGGGCCCTGGATGGCGTTACTGGGCCCTGGCTAGCATCGCCGGGCCCAGGTTAGCATCACTGAGCCCTGGTTAGCATCACTGGGCCCTGGTTAGCACCACTGAACCGCAGCCATCTCCAGAAACGCCGTTCAACGCCCCTGATCTAGGGTGTGTTCAGCCGGCGCCAAGAGCCCTCGAAGCAGTCGCGGTTGGCGCCGGCGGCCGGCAGAGGGCAGGCTGATGCGCTGACAGCGGCGGGGCAGGCTGAGGCGCCGACGGCGCGGGAAGCAGGCTGACACGCTGACGGCGATGCGGGCAGGCTAAGGGGTCGGCGGCGGCGGGGGCAGGCTGACGCGCTGACGGCGGCAAAGCAGACTGACGCGCCGGTCGGCCGGCGGACCGCACCAGCCAGAGCTCACACGAACTCCCGCCTGGCGAGGCTGTGAGTCGCTGCCTTTGATCAGTGGCTGGTGACCTTTCATCAGCTGCCAGTGGCCTTTGATCAGCTATTGGTGGCCTTTCATCAGCTGTTGGTGGCCTTTCATCAGCTACCGATGGTCTTTTGTCAGTTGTTAGTGGCCTTTCGTCAGCTGCCGGTGGCCTTTGATCAGCTGCTGGTGGCCTTTGATCATCTGCCGATGTTCTGTCTGCCTGGAGTCAACTCAACAATGCACGACGCGATATAAATGTCGAACAGTACAAATGACAAGGAGCACAAATGCGAGCGATCAAGGCACAAAAGTGTAAGTGGCAAGCAGTGTACATTATGAGCATATACACTAACAGCAAACAAAGCATACTGTTGTTTGTCTTTTTTCTGACGTCCGGCGAACGGTAGAGGCCGGCTCCCCTAGGTCAGTGGCACGGTAAGGTTGGCCTGCTTCCTTAGATCGGCCGGTGTTCAGTTTGACGCAGCTGTCCAAGTGCACAGGGTGAACCGAGGTCAATGGGAGCAGACTGGAGAGAGCCCGGCCCCACCTCCGCCGGGTGGTCTCATCGGCTGTTATCGCGCTCCCGATAGCGACCACGAAGGGTGTGGAGGCCTGCCGGCGTAACTCGGGCTGCGGCACGTTTTCGATCACGGCAGCCACCCGACCGGGCCGCAGCCCATCCTGCTTCCCGGACCGTCCGTTTGGCGGGGCGTGCCCGATCCCGGCAGCCACCCGACCGGGCCACAGCCCGCCCTGCTTCCCGGACCGTCCGTCCGGCGGGGCGTGCCCGATCCCGCCAGCCACCCGACCGGGCCGCAGTCCGCCCTGCTTCCTGGATCGTCCGTCCGGTGGGGCCGGTGCGGCCGCTGCGGAGACGGCCGGCGATGGGCGTCGGTGCGGTAAATCAGCGGAACCGGCCGCGGCGGTCTTCAGTAATGGCTGGCTGGACCGCAGGGCGGCCGTCTGCGGCGGTTGGTGCGGCTCATCACGGCCGCTGACGACCGGCTCATCCGCCGGCCGTCCGCGGCCTCGGAGGCGACGCCGGCCGTCCGCGGCCTCCGAGGTGACGCCGGCCGTCCGCGGCCTCCGAGGTGACGCCGGCCGTCCGCGGCCTCGGAGGCGACACCGGCCGTCCGCGGCCTCCGAGGAGACGCCGGCCGTCCGCGGCCTCGGAGGTGACGCCGGCCGTCCGCGGCCTCCGAGGAGACGCCGGCCGTCCGCGGCCTCGGAGGCGACACCGGCCGTCCGCGGCCTCGGAGGCGACACCGGCTGTCCGCGGCCCCCGAGGTGACGCCGGCCGTCCGCGGCCTCCGAGGAGACGCCGGCCGTCCGCGGCCTCCGAGGAGACGCCGGCCGTCCGCGGCCTCTGGAGAGACGCCGGCCGTCCGCGGCCTCGGAGGCGACACCGGCTGTCCGCGGCCTCGGAGGCGACACCGGCCGTCCGCGGCCTCCGAGGAGACGCCGGCCGTCCGCGGCCTCCGAGGAGACGCCGGCCGTCCGCGGTCTCTGGAGAGACGCCGGCCGTCCGTCCGGCCTCGGATGCGGACACCGGCTTTCCGCGGCGGCCTCCGAGGAGACGCGTCGGTCCGCACTTATCCGAGTTGAGAACGCCGGCCGTCCGCGGGCGTCGGGGGACGCTGCCGTCCGTCGGCCTCCGAGGATACGGCGGCCGTCCGCGTCCTCTGAGAGACGCCGCCGTCCGCGGCCTCCGAGGAGACGCCGGCCGTCCGCGGCCTCCGAGGAGACGCCGGCCGTCCGCGGCCTCCGAGGAGACGCCGGCCGTCCGCGGCCTCTGGAGAGACGCCGGCCGTCCGCGGCCTCCGAGACGCCGGCTGTCCGCCCTTGAGTGTCAGGCGGCGCAGGTGGCGCTCTGGCACTGGGTTGAATCACACCAGATATGTCAGAGCTTCGGTCCTTTATGTTGATATGAAAGTTATCACATAGATATACGCGTTTAGCTGGCTAGTGGTTCCGAGAGCTTACACCGGCGTTACTACAAAAGGCTTTGGGAGAGAAGGAATTTGGCGAGGTTCCAGAACCTTACCACAGGCTTGGACATGTTTTGTTGTATTTGAATGCTACGACAGTGTTCCTTTGACGGGCTTGTGAGTCGTGCACGGATATAGAAAATGCAGGAAAGTCGGCTGGGAGCGTGTTTCCGTGTTAAGTGCGACAGGCGGGACACCTGGGACTAAGTATGCACAATTGCTCAAAACCATGGGCGTAGGAACAGGGGCAGGGGGCCATGGCCCCACCTTTTCAAGGCGGGGGGGGGGGGCAGCAATGTTAACTGCCCCCCCCCCTGACTTTTCAGATTAAGGCTGAATTTGGCTTGCTTTTGCCCTACGTTAAACATGCATGCCACTTCACCCAGTTCACCAGCCATCTCCATTAAGATCCGTCATCTTTTTCGTTTGTTCATTGGCCATCGCTTAGTATCACAGCTACGAGGCCGACGGCGCACGGCCTGGAGACTGCAACGCTGGGAGTCGAGGCTGTTATTGCTATGACTTACGAGCACGCACGTTCAACACCATATTACGTAGTTTTCTTATTA